ATGTGTCAACCATGTGTAAAGGCAGAGGTCAAATAAACAGTATCCTATAGGTAGTTTTCCGTTGTATTGACTCTCTCTCTCTCTCCCTCTCTCTCTCTCCTTGCCTCTTCCCCTCTTCTCCAGATAATAACTTCAGCATCTCTTTTTTCTCCCTCACAGTCACCTGACAGGGAACGACCTCCATACGCTGGAGAATGGCACCATGATGGGCACCAGCACTCTCTCTCACCTGTAAGTGTATTCAGGAGTTTGTACTCGAGAAACTCTCACCTGTGTGGTATACACTCAAACTTGTAAGTGCATTCTAATAACTGTGCTCTGTGCGTTCTCTCTCTCTCTCTCTCTATCTCGCTCATCACAGCTAACCTTAAATATAGTCTCCAATTTAGTTCCCAGAGTATACAAAAGATGAGGGTAATCTGAAACGGAGACAGGTAACAAAGATTGCACCTTCATTAAGATATGATGTGAGAAATACCTTAAATCAAGTTGTCTGTTTCCCCTTCCCCTCAGGAAACGGAAATTTCCGTGATAACTATTTAAAACATTCATGGTGGCAAAGCACGAAGCAGTCTGATAACGCAAAAGAACAGCGGGATACTCCGAGGCAAGAGATGCAACGTAAATGTGTGTATACATATATATATATATACATAGATATATAATACATATATATATATATATTATATATATATATATATAACATATATATATATATACATAATATATAATATTATATTATAATAATATATAAATATTATATATATATATACATATATATAATATATATATATATTAATATATATATATATATATATATATATATATATATATATATATATATATATATTATATATATTATATATATATATATATATATATACATTAGATATATAATACATAATATATACATAATATATATATATATATATATAATATATATATATATATATATATATATATATATATATATATATATATATATGTCGTGCCGAATATGTAAAACTGGTCAATTAGCAAGAACTCATTTAAAATTAAGTCCTTTCTAAAATTTTCTCTTATACGTTTTAAGATATATTTTTTTCATTAATGTTGATGTAAAAATTTAGAATTTTGCACCAAAAGGAACTTAGAAAACTTACCTAACCTTATTATAACAAGCGCAATTTATTTTAGCCTAACCCAACTAAATATATTTTAGATTTGTTTACAATAATTTAATACTAAACAAACACAGTGAAATATATTTTTTTCGTTAGGTTCAGAATGATTTTGGCGAAATTATTGCATACACAAATTTTCACTTGTCCTATATGGCAAGATGATCGTTGCTATTTAAGCCGAGATCGCAAGTTCTGCCTATTCAGCACGACATATATATATATTAGAGATAATAATGGAATAGTCGGCGCTGAAGTTGTAAGAGCATAAACTATAAAGTTGTTTTTGACCCAGTTGGACAAGTATTTCATAAATACTGTATTGAGCAAAATACAGCACTACTGGTCATTCAGGGCATCGTACTACTACTACTACTACTACTACTACTACTACTACTACTACTAATAGTAGTAGTAGTATATGTGGTAATAATAATAATAGTATTACTAATAAAGTAGTGATAATAAAAGTAGTAGGAGTAGTAGCAGAAGTAGAGGTATTTGCGGATCATAACAAGTAATTGCTACAGATTTTACTTCCCGTATTACGTGTCCATGTACGTTTTTCTATGAGTCATAATAACGGAACACATACATGAAGAACACTGGAATAAATTAAAAGTGCAAAAAGAAATCAGTCCTATAAAACGATTGGTAAAGCATCTTGCAGCTATGTGAACTTAATGCATACAGTGCATAGACTGACTGTGGACACACACACACACACACACACACACACACACACACAACTAAATGCAAAGGTATACAACAAGACTAGTCCCGGAGCTAAGGGGTATGTCTTACGAGAAGAGGTTAAAGGAACTCAACCTGACGAAATTGGAGGAGAGGAGGGACAGGGGGACATAACGACATATATAATGCTGAGAGGGCACAATAAGGGGTCACAACTGGAAATTGAAAACTCAGATGAGTCACAGGGATGTTAGGAAGTATTTCTTCAGTCTTAGAGTTGTCAGGAAGTGGAACACTCTGAAGAGTAACGTAGTGGAGGAAGGATCCATACATAGCCTTAAGAAGAGGTTCCATAAAACTCATGGAGCAGGGAGAGAGTGGACCTAGTAGCGACCAGCGAAGAGGCAGACCCAGGAGCTGTGAATCGACCCCTGTAACCACAAATAAGTGAGTACTAACAGGTGAGTACACAGACACACACACGCACACACACACACACACAGTCATCCACGAATCACACACCACAACACTTTCAATCCATTTTGCTCTGCACCCGTTAAATCATTTATTGCTCAAAGAAAATTTCAATATTCAGAACTTTTCCAAATGTCATGGCAGAGTAATTATCGCCACGCTGACGAGAATCAACACAGCTTTTATCCTAGGATAAACAATATCGTGCCTGTAAAAGGACACAAGTGCAACTAAAGTGACATTAGCAACGTTTTGCTCTCCAGAAACTTTGTCGAGCGAAACGTTGCCACAATAAAATGTCACATTAATTGCACTTGTGACCTTTTACCTAACATATTGTCGGTAATTCTATCAATATTAATACAATATCACGCCTGTATAGCTAAACCATGTGACCTTACCATCGAGGTCAACGAGGGTAATGTAAAGAGATATAGAGTAAAGGGAGGAAATGAAAGAAACGGCAGGACACCCACAAACAAGGGGAAAGAAAAGAGAGAGAGAGGCAGCAAGAGGAGCACTACTGGAGAGATTATTATTATAATCAAGGGTGAAGCACTAAACCCGTAGGATTATACAGCGCCTATGGGGGGATGGACGGCATTCAGGCTTAATTCAGGGAACTGGAGCACAGATCCAATTCCCTAGATCAAGAGCCCCTCACCAGCGTCAAGGAGCCTTCCTTGAGGGGACTACTGGAGAGAGAGAACAGCGATGTATAGCAAATCAATGACACTGTAATTATACCCAACAAATCACTACATAGCTAATTTTCTTATCGGGCTTACCGAGTGCTTAACGGGTGCAACTCCTGAAGGGAAACCAAACGCCAGAAATCAAGTTGATTAGTTCATTAAACTTAAAGATAATGAACTACACAAGGATAATTAAGGCTGCATGGGACCTCTTCACCTCCAGTCAAGAATATATCAATACCTAAAATAAGGATTTGGGCAGAAGCTCTCAGTGTATATATAGTGAGAGACTTACAGCTCTCAGTGTATATACATTGAGAGGCTTAAATCTCTTGTCATTAATATTGGATGTACAGAATGAACTGCAATGATCCATGATCAAGCAAACTCTGACTGAATATAAATACATATCATCATTACTAAAACGATGACGACTGATGTGGAACAACAATAATAATAATTATTATTATTTATAATAAATGCTAGAATAACACATGTGTTTTCCTTTACTGGGAATTAGTATATATAAATACTGTGTCAATACACTGTTTATACATTAAGAATTTTCTTTAATTCCAACACGCAGCTCCTGTCCCCACTTACAGTTTACAATAGTATCACTAATAACTTCCACATCCAACTATCATATTTCTTCTCTTCACACTCGCTATTTCCCAGTCATAATAATTATTCCAGTTCAGTTTCCAGGAACACTGATTGCAGATCTGTGTTTTAAATTATGCTGTCAGTTTAGTGTCAGCTGAGAGAAAAACTAAAGCACAATGACCGGGGTAAAAACGAAAAGAAAACTACTATTGCTGGGAGCTCTACGCTGGTGCTGGGAGCACTACGCTGGTGCTGGGAGCTCTACACTGGTGCTGGGAGCTCTGCGTTGGTGCTGGGAGCTCTACGCTGGTGCTGGGAGCTCTGCGCTGGTGCTGGGAGCTCTGCGCTGGTGCTGGGAGCTCTGCGCTGGTGCTGGGAGATCTAGGCTGGTGCTGGGAGCTCTAGGCTGGTGCTGGAAGCTCTAGGCTGGTGCTGGGAGCTCTAGACTGGTGCTGGGAGCTCTAGGGTGGTGCTGGGAGCTCTAGGCTAGTGCTGGGAGCTCTAGGCTGGTGCTGGGAGCTCTAGGCTGGTGCTGGGAGCTCTAGGCTGGTGCTGGGAGCTCTAGGCTTGTGCTGGGAGCTCTAGGCTGGTGCTACATACTCTGTGTTAGGCTCACAATGTGAGTCTAACACAGCTATAACTTCCTAAAACTGCGTTGCTTATTACTGCTGCTAAAATTTCATAAATTTCTGAATAGTTTGTTGCCTTAACTTGCTTAGCTTTCAGAAGTATTGGAACCCAGCTCCTGGGCCTGTTATCTGCCTCTGAGCATGTGATTGCTGTCCTCGACTGCCGTATTAACAGAAGTATGTGTGCACTCACTTGACTGTTGTTAAAGGGGTTGAGTCATAGCTCCTGGCCCCGTGTATGTGTGTGTGTGTGTGTGTGTGTGTGTGTGTGTGTATTAACTCGAAGAAAAAAATATTCAACCTTGACGTCATAAAAGTTCTTACAATAAATCCTTGTTAGATACTTTCAATTATTTATAAGGAATCCCGTCATACCTTTAGTCACCTAGATCGGATTTCTTTTAAAAGAGTAAGTGGGAGAAAGTCTCCTGAAATTTAGAAATATCTCCTCACCATCCTCACTATTCTCACCATCCTCACCATCTTCACCATCGCAATATTCATCATTTATTTTACACAATTGTGAAAGCGGCTTGTGGCTGCTTTCTGTATGTTCTGAGGACGTGTTAGCATATTCTGCCACAATGTGACCTGGGTGAACATTCGAGCACAAAAGACTTATGCTAACACAAAAATAAATTCACAAACACGAAAGCAAATCAGAATGTGTCTGAAAAGTTATGAAATGGGTGGAGCATATTTAGAAATGAAGAGAAGTGGAATGACAGGGAAGCAATTGCTTCCTCTCTCCAAGTAGCGAGTAGCATGCACTCAGCTTTCCTATCCTTCCTCTCTCTCTCTCTCTCTCTCTCTCTCTCTCTCTCTCTCTCTCTCTCTCTCTCTTTCTTTACCAGGCAGTTAAAGAAGCAGGGAAAAGATACTGATGAATGGTTTCTTATTCCTCTTACCTTCACTTAGCTAGTTGCGTCTTAACGGTGTGGAAGGATGCAGCTGGAATACACTTCGCGCAGCACATCATTCTAACCTCGACACACGTAGCTCATAATCTTGGAAAAGTATTCTCAATTAGAAACAAATCAATAGTACTTTGGGACAGACTACCTATGTTTTGATACAGCTTTACTCTTACCATTTACTCCAATATGCATTACTTAGCAATTGTCTCTGTTGAATCTCATCTACGTCTTCGACCTGAGCGTCAACTTGTCCAGATCGCACTAAACACTGAATCGGCTCTTGGATTCTGTACTTTTCCGCAATTTGGTGTCAACCACAAATTTTGTTGTCTTAGATGATAGCGCTGCCTCGCTTTTACCTTCATCTATATCATTCCAGCTTGTCAGATGCTCAATTCGATGCGATGAAGCCGTTTGTCCAGGGCACCATAAATTCCAGTCAGTCTAATGTAAGCACTTAAAGGCCTCGTTAGACTTAACACGATACACGGGATTTAGCTCCTAAAAGCGAGTAACACATCGTGTGCAGTCATGAACGCTTGTCTGTGAATGTCTTTACTATTTATATTTGTGAACGTATACGTACACTGTACACTGTACACTGTACACTCACTGAGTAGAGGACGAATTGTTGCAAGAATTGTTAATTGATTCTCGGTGTTTTTTGACCCGTGCTGCCTTTGTGCTGTAAAACAACAAAAAATGCATTTTTTTGCGTATTTCGTGCACCATCTTATTACCCGTTACTCTCGCTTGTCGCTTCAATAATGTGTTCAGATTCCATTAATAACTTATGGTATGTTATTGTTTACAACTTTTTATTTTGTCTTATATATTAGTTTCTGCTTAGCCCGGATACTGATACTAAGAAAGAAAATATATTTTTTTTACATCTTTAAAGTTATAAACACAAAAACTTTGAATATTTTAGTAAACGGCAACAAGAAGTTTATATTTTTGCATTCAGCTAAACACAAGCTGATAATAAATGCAATACTACAGTATTAACAACAATATCAATAATAAGAATAAAAATATATATGAAGGGAAGATGTGTGAGGTGATAGTGGTTCAATCTTCACTTTCCAGGTTCTGTTAAATATCCATTCATGTTCTCCATTAAGATATAATTACTTACAGTAAAGTACTTGTCCAGTTAGCATGATGGTAGGGCACGGAGTGTCTTCTGTACACCAGCCTGACCTCAACTGTCTAGACAGAATTAATAACTGTGCACTTTACATATTTTCTAATGAGTATACCTCTGTTGGTGTGTGTGTGTGTGTGTGTGTGTACTCACCTATTTGTACTCACCTATTTCTGGTTGCAGGGGTCGATTCTTAGCTCCTGGCCCCGCCTCTTCGCTGGTTGCTACTGGGTCCTCTCTCTCCCTGCTTCATGAGCTTTATCAAACCTCGTCTTAAAACTATGTATGGTTCCCTCCTCCACTACGTCACTTTCTAGGCTATTCCACTGCCTGACAACTCTATGACTGAAGAAATACTTCCTAACATCCCTTTGACTCATCTGACTCTTCAACTTCCAATTGTGACCCTTTCTTTCTGTGTCCCCTCCCTGGAACATCCCGTCTTTGTCCACCTTGTCTATTCCGCGCAGTATTTTATGTCGTTATCATGTCTCCCCTGACCCTCCTGTCCTCCAGTGTCGCCAGGCCGATTTCCCTTAACCTTTCTTCATAAGACATTCCCCTTAGCTCTGGGACTAGTCTTGTTGCTAACCTTTGCACTTTCTCTAATTTCTTGACGTGCTTGATTGTGTGTGTGTGTGTGTGTGTGTGTGTGTGTGTGTGTGTGTGTGTGTGTGTGTGTGTACTCACCTAATTGTACTCACCTAATTGTGGTTGCAGGGGTCGAGACACAGCTCCTGGCCCCGCCTCTTCACTGATCGCTACTGGGTCCTCTCTCTCTCTGCTTCCTGAGCTTTGCCATACCTCTTCTTAAAACTATGTATGGTTCCTGCCTCCACTACTTCACTTGCTAGGCTATTCCACTTGCTGACAACTCTATGACTGAAGAAATACTTCCTAACGTCCCTGTGACTCGTCTGAGTCTTCAGCTTCAAGTTGTGACCCCTTGTCCCTGTGTCCCCTCTCTGGAACATCCTATCTCTGTCCACCTTGTCTATTCCCCGCAGTATCTTGTATGTCGTTATCATGTCTCCCCTGACCCTTCTGTCCTCCAGTGTCGTCAGTCCGATTTCCCTTAACCTTTCCTCGTACGACATTCCCTTGAGCTCTGGGACTAGCCTTGTTGCAAACATTTGTACTTTCTCTAACTTCTTGACGTGCTTGACCAGGTGTGGGTTCCAGACTGGTGCTGCATACTCCAGTATGGGCCTAACATACACAGTGCACAGTGTCTTGAACGATTCCTTATTAAGGTTTCGGAACGCTATTCTCAGGTTTGCCAGGCGCCCGTATGCTGCAGCGGTTATTTGGTTGATGTGTGCCTCCGGTGATGTGCTCGGTGTTATGGTCACCCCAAGGTCTTTCTCCCTGAGTGAGGTCTGTAGTCTTTGTCCACCTAGCCTATACTCTAGCTGCGGTCTTCTTTGCCCCTCCCCAATCTTCACGATTTTGCATTTGGCTGGATTGAATTCGAGAAGCCAGTTACTGGACCACATGTCCAGCCTGTCCAGGTCTCTTTGCAGTACTGCCTCATCTTCGTCCGATTTAATTCTTCTCATCAACTTCACGTCATCTGCGAACAGGGACACTTCAGAGTCTATTCCTTCCATCATGTCGTTCATATATATCAAAAATAGTACTGGTCCTAGAACTGACCCCTGTGGGATCCCGCTCGTAACAGGCGCCCACTGTGATACCTCTTCACGTACCATAACTCGTTGCTGCCTCCCTGTCAGGTATTCCCTTATCCATTGCAGTGCTCTCCCTTTTACATGCGCCTGATCCTCCAGCTTCTGCACTAATCTCTTGTGGGGAACTGTGTCAAAAGCCTTCCTGCAGTCTAGGAAAACGCAATCTACCCACCCCTCTCTCTCGTGTCTTACTTCTGTTACCTTGTCATAAAACTCCAGGAGGTTTATGATACAAGATTTGCCTTCCATGAACCGATGCTGGTTTTCATTTATAATCTTGTTCCTTTCCAGGTGTTCGACCACTCCTCCTTATAATCTTCTCCATGACTTTGCACACAATACATGTCAGAGACACAGGTCTGTAGTTTAGTGCCTCGTTTCTGTTTCCTTTCTTAAATATGGGGACTACATTAGTTGTCTTCCATTTCTCAGGTAGTTGCCCAGTTTCAAGGGATGTGTTGAAGATTGTGGTTAGAGGCACGCACAGCATCTCTGCTCCTTCTCTAAGGACCCATGGGGAGATGTTGTCCGGTCCCATCGCCTTTGAGGTGTCAAGGTCACTTATGAGCTTCTTCACCTCCTCCTCAGTTGTTCGTATGTCATCCAACACTTGTTGGTATATTCCCTCTTGATGTTCCCTTCTGTGCTGTCTTCCCACAGCCCTTCCTGTCTCTACTGTAAAAAACTTCCTTAAATCTCCCGTTAAGCTCCTCACGTACCTCCTGATCATTTCTTGTGAGTTCTCCACCTTCTGTCCTTAATCTGATCACCTGGTCTTTGACTGTTGTCTTCCTCCTGATGTGGCTATACAACAGTTTCGGGTCAGTCTTGATTCTCGATGCTATGTCATTTTCATACTGTCGCTGGGCCTCCCTCCTTACCTGTGCATACTCATTCCTGGCTCTGCGACTGATCTCCCTATTTTCGTGTGTTCTCTGCCTTCTGTACTTTTTCCATTCTCTATTGCACTTTGTTTTTGCCTCCTTACACCGTCGGGTAAACCGAGGGCTCGTTCTGGTCTTCCGTTGTTACTGTTGCCCTTGGGAATAAACCTTTCCACTGCCTCCTTGCATTTGTTGTTACATATTCCATCATTTCATTTACTGGCTTTCTGCCAGTTCTCTGTCCCACTGGACCTCCCGCAGGAAGTTCTTCAACCCTATGTAGTCCCTCTTTTATAGTCAGGCTTTTCCCATTCAACTCCTGTTATTCTCTCCACTTGCAGCTCTACTATGTATTCAAAGCACAGAAACCACGTGGTCGCTAGCTCCTAGGGGACTCTCTACTTGATGTCCTCATGTCCTGAGCTGCCCAGGGTGAACACAAGGTCCAATCTTGCTGGTTCATCCTCCCCTCTCACTCTGGTAGTGTCCTTAACATGTTGGTGCATGAGGTTTTCCAGCACCACGTTCAACATCCTGGCTCTCCATGTTTCGGGACCCCCATGTGGCTCCAGGTTTTCCCAGTCAATCTCCCTGTGGTTGAAATCCCCCATAACCAGCAACTTTGCTCTGCTGGAGTGAGCTCTTCATGCCACCTTAGCAAGTGTGTCCACCATTACTCTGTTGCTCTCTTCATATTCCTCTCTTGGCCTCCTGCAGTTCTGTGGTGGATTATACATCACTGCAATGACCACTTTGTGTGTGTGCGTGCGTGCGTGTGTGTGTGTGTGTGTGTGTGTGTGTGTGTGTGTGTGTGTGTGTGTGTGTGTGTGTGTGTGTGTGTGTGTGTGTGTGTGTGTGTTTGTGTGCATTTAGAACAACAAAATCTGCACAAATGGAGGGGAATATATATCTCAGGATGTACACACTTAGAGTTTACTTTAATCATACCATTATTTGGGATTGAATTATTCTTGAATGGTGATGAGCAGGTGACATGCAACCTTAATGACCCTCGTGTGTCGAAAGGCTTTAAAGTCTAATTAAACCATCAGCCAGTAACTATTTTTCCTCAGCTGACAGCCTCAAAATGGACCGTAAGGGTTATGTTATCTCATTCTCTTGTTTATTTTTCTGCTCCTCAGCCTGCACAACGTAAAGGAATATTTCTCAGGATATTATGTGTGTTTTCAGGCAGCTAAGTAGCAACAACATCAGCGATCTTCCTGACGGTTTCTTCACCCACAACACCAACCTTCAACGACTGTGAGTTCTCTAATTTTCTGCAAATCCTCTGAGTGTTTGTGTTCACACGAGTTGTATTGAATCTGCGAGGTCACTGCTGAATGGTTCACATACACACTCTTAACCTTTCAATAACTGTCGTAATTCTTTCCCAGCCACATGAGTACTATCGTACTATATAATCTCTGCACGAACATGTATTCCTTACCTACCCGAGATTTAGCACCATTTTCAGTTTATAAGATATTTACTAGATACTTACAAGATAGCTGTAAGATATTTATGGTTATTAGGAAAAAGAGCATATTTAGATGGTAGAAACCACATAACGATTATATATATTTATATATATATATTATATATATATATTATAATATATATTATATATATATATATATATATATATATTATATATATATATATATTATATATATATATATATATATATATATATATATATATATATTATAAACTTTCTAGTTGTAGCTATACTGAGAGTAAAAGGTAGATGGGATACAAGGAGAATAGAAGCATCAGGGAAGAGAGAGGTGAAGGTTTATAAACTAAAAGAGGAGGCAGTTAGGGTAAGATATAAACAGCTATTGGAGGATAGATGGGCTAATGAGAGCATAGGCAATGGGGGTCGAAGAGGTATGGGGTAGGTTTAAAAATGTAGTGTTAGAGTGTTCAGCAGAAGTTTGTGGTTACAGGAAAGTGGGTGCAGGAGGGAAGAGGAGCGATTGGTGGAATGATGATGTAAAGAGAGTAGTAAGGGAGAAAAAGTTAGCATATGAGAAGTTTTTCAAAGTAGAAGTGATGCAAGGAGGGAAGAGTATATGGAGAAAAAGAGAGAAGTTAAGAGAGTGGGTGAAGCAATGTAAAAAGAGAGCAAATGAGAGAGTGGGTGAGATGTTATCAACAAATTTTGTTGAAAATAAGAAAAAGTTTTGGAGTGAGATTAAAAAGTTAAGAAAGCCTAGAGAACAAATGGATTTGTCATTAAAAATAGGAGAGGAGAGTTATTAAATGGAGAGTTAGAGGTATTGGGAAGATGGAAGGAATATTTTGAGGAATTGTTAAATGTTGATGAAGATAGGGAAGCTGTGATTTCGTGTATAGGGCAAGGAGGAATAACATCTTGTAGGAGTGAGGAAGAGCCAGTTGTGAGTGGTGGGGGAAGTTCGTGAGGCAGTAGGTAAAATGAAAGGGGGTAAGGCAGCCGGGATTGATGGGATAAAGATAGAAATGTTTAAAAGCAGGTGGGGATATAGTTTTGGAGTGGTTGGTGCAATTATTTAATAATGTATGGAAGAGGGTAAGGTACCTAGGGATTGGCAGAGAGCATGCATAGTTCCTTTGTATAAAGGCAAAGGGGATAAAAGAGAGTGCAAAAATTATAGGGGGATAAGTCTGTTGAGTGTACCTGGTAAAGTGTATGGTAGAGTTATAATTGAAAGAATTAAGAGTAAGACGGAGAATAGGATAGCAGTATGAACAAGGAGGCTTTAGGAAAGGTAGGGGGTGTGTGGACCAGGTGTTTACAGTGAAACATATAAGTGAACAGTATTTAGATAAGGCTAAAGAGTTCTTTGTGGCATTTATGGATTTGGAAAGGCGTATTATGACAGGGTGGATAGGGGGGCAATGTGGCAGATGTTGCAAGTGTATTGTGTAGGAGGTTAGGTTACTGAAAGCAGTGAAGAGTTTTACGAGGATAGTGAGGCTCAAGTTAGAGTATGTAGGAAAGAGGGAAATTTTTTCCAGTAAAAGTAGGCCTTAGACAAGGATGTGTGATGTCACCGTGGTTGTTTAATATATTTATAGATGGGGTTGTAAGAGAAGTAAATGCGAGGGTTTTGGCAAGAGGCGTGGAGTTAAAAGATAAAGAATCACACACAAAGTGGGAGTTGTCACAGCTGCTCTTTGCTGATGACACTGTGCTCTTGGGAGATTCTGAAGAGAAGTTGCAGAGATTGGTGGATGAATTTGGTAGGGTGTGCAAAAGAAGAAAATTAAAGGTGAATACAGGAAAGAGTAAGGTTATGAGGATAACAAAAAGATTAGGTGATGAAAGATTGAATATCAGATTGGAGGGGAGAGAGTATGGAGGAGGTGAACGTATTCAGATATTTGGGAGTGGACGTGTCAGCGGATGGGTCTATGAAAGATGAGGTGAATCATAGAATTGATGAGGGAAAAAGAGTGAGTGGTGCACTTAGGAGTCTGTGGAAACAAAGAACTTTGTCCTTGGAGGCAAAGGGGGAATGTATGAGAGTATAGTTTTACCAACGCTCTTATATGGGTGTGAAGCGTGGGTGATGAATGTTGCAGCGAGGAGAAGGCTGGAGGCAGTGGAGATGTCATGTCTGAGGGCAATGTGTGGTGTGAATATAATGCAGAGAATTCGTAGTTTGGAAGTTAGGAGGAGGTGGGGATTACAAAACTGTTGTCCAGAGGGCTGAGGAAGGGTTGTTGAGGTGGTTCGGACATGTAGAGAGAATGGAGCGAAACAGAATGACTTCAAGAGTGTATCAGTCTGTAGTGGAAGGAAGGCGGGGGTAGGGGTCGGCCTAGGAAGGGTTGGAGGGAGGGGTAAAGGAGGTTTTGTGTGCGAGGGGCTTGGACTTCCAGCAGGCATGCGTGAGCGTGTTTGATAGGAGTGAATGGAGACAAATGGTTTTTAATACTTGACGTGCTGTTGGAGTGTGAGCAAAGTAACATTTATGAAGGGATTCAGGGAAACCGGCAGGCCGGACTTGAGTCCTGGAGATGGGAAGTACAGTGCCTGCACTCTGAAGGAGGGGTGTTAATGTTGCAGTTTAAAACTGTAGTGTAAAACACCCTTCTGGCAAGACAGTGATGGAGTGAATGATGGTGAAAGTTTTTCTTTTTCGGGCCACCCTGCCTTGGTGGGAATCGGCCGGTGTGATAATAAAAAAAAAAAAAATAAATATATATATATATATATATATATATTATATATATTATATATATATAATATATATATATATTTATATATATATATATATTATATATATATATATATATATATATATATATATATATATATATATATATATATATATATATATATATATATATATATATATATATATATATATATATATTATTATATATATGTATATGCAAAACAACCACTCTGAAAGAATAGAGAAATTCCAAGCGCTTTCGTGACTACTCACATTATCAAGGAACTATGATAGTTCCTTGATATGTGAGTAGTCACGAAAGCGCTTGGAATTTCTCTATTCTTTCAGAGGTGGTTGTTTTGCATATTCTGAAATCACCTGTTTACTGTGATCTTATTGCATATGTGTATTATATATATATATATATATATTATATATATATTATATATATATATATATATATATATATATATATATATATATATATATATTGTCTCGAACCTGCAAACTCTGTATCAGAGTCCACAGTACTTTACCACAAGGCTGGTGCCCGGGGGTATGGGGTAACATCGTCTAGCTCCGGCTCGGCGCCTATACTTATCTGAGGTCTGGCTCCGTGGTTAAGTACTGTGAACCCTGATACAGAGATTGCAGGTTCGAGTCCTGCTGTGGACATAGAGGCAATATTTGTAAATAATTTCGCCTGTTTGCCAATATTTTAGCATTTAAAGTCTCTTTCGTTGTTCACTGTATGTGGCAGAATTTGATGAAATAACTTGGAAAACAAGTCTGCCTTGGCGCCCATACTTATCTGTACAAAAACACAGTTGATTGTGTTTTAATCGTAAAAGTTATCATTAAAATAATTATTTTTTAGCTTTTCATCAATTAAAACGCTGCTTGTATAATTAGCCTCAATATTTAAGACAATTAAGAGCTATTAAAACTTTTTTCGTAACAATTCTGAGTGCATCAGTGGAAACATTGTGACAGAGAAACCGACAGACATGACGAGGATTATTCAACAGACATGACGTGGATTATTCAATAGACATGACGTGGATTATTCAACAGACATGAAGTGGATTATTCAACAGACATGACGTGGATTATTCAACAGACATGATGAGGATTATTCAACAGACATGACGTGGATTATTCAACAGACATGATGAGGATTATTCAACAGACATGACGTGGATTATTCAACAGACATGATGAGGAATATTCAACAGACATGACGTGGATTATTCAATAGACATGACGTGGATTATTCAACAGACATGAAGTGGATTATTCAACAGATATGACGTGGATTATTCAACAGACATGATGAGGATTATTCAACAGACATGACGTGGATTATTCAACAGACATGATGAGGATTATTCAACAGACATGACGTGGATTATTCAACAGACATGATGAGGATATTCAACAGACATGACGTGGATTATTCAACAGACATGATGAGGATTATTCAACAGACATGACGTGGATTATTCAACAGACATGACGTGGATTATTCAACAGACATGACGTGGATTATTCAACAGACATGACGTGGATTATTCAACAGACATGACGTAGATTATTCAACAGACATGACGTAGATTATTCAACAGATGAGAGGTATTATTCAACAAACATGAGGGAGATTATTCAACCAAAATGAAGGGGACTTTTCACAGTAAATGAGGGATTATTATATAGCAGACATGTATGCGATTATTCACCAGACGTGAGCGTGTTTTGCAGTCCTTTGCCCCCGAGCCTGTACTCCGTCTGCGGTGTTCTTCTTTTAAACTTCACACCTGCACTGGTTAAACACCCATTTCTAGCCTTTCTTGGTCCACGTCGGCTTGTATTCCTTTTATTAGTGTCACATCATCATGCTGTGTGTGTGTGTGTTTGTGTGTGTGTGTCTGTGTGTGTGTGTTTGTGTGTCTGTGTGTGTGTGTTTGTGTGTCTGTGTGTGTGTGTTTGTGTGTGTGTTTGTGTGTTGTGTTGTGTGTGTGTGTTGTGTGTTTGTGTGTGTGTGTTTGTGTGTTGTGTTTGTGTGTCTGTGTGTGGTGTGTTTGTGTGTGTGTTTGTGTGTGTGTGTCTGTGTGTGTGTGTTTGTGTGTCTGTGTGTGTGTTTGTGTGTGTGTGTGTTGTGTGTTTGTGTGTTGTGTTGTGTGTGTGTGTGTGTGTGTGTTTGTGTGTTTGTGTGTCTGTGTGTGTGTGTTTGTGTGTCTGTGTGTGTGTGTTTGTGTGTCTGTGTATATCTAAATTACATATCTATTCCTAAAAACATACGACAACATTTAATGTTACTTACAAAGGATTACACAGTATTAAACTCATTATTAATATTTTAATTACAATTTTATCCCATAAAATCTAATGTTAAAATTTAATGCGTCTTTGTAAATTTAAAACAAAGATCTGGTCCAATTACAGATGCAAATTTTAGAGAAGAAAATATAATTTCCAGAGGTAAAACATATATATTTCTCCATGAGGCTGATTCAGTATCTCACTTCTGCCACCATCCTTATCTTTAAATACTATATATGTTATTTTCAGGGAACTCAATGATAATAACTTGTCAGAACTGCGTCCGGCGATGTTCGTTGGTCTTCACAATCTCCAAAATCTGTGAGTAATTTCACCCCAAAATTTTTTTTTTTACCAAAACTTGAATACAAGTGCGAGAACAACCGGTTTTTCTCAGCACAAATTAACTCTCCTGTCAAGTTTTATGTAAGAGTCGAGCAAATGTCATGCATTAAAAATTTATCATTTGCAACAGTATATGTGATTATAGTACTTGCGATAAGCAGTTACAAGTCTGAGAATATCACATACTACATACATTGATATGTATATATATATATATATATATATATTATATATATATATATATATATATATATATATAATATATATATTATATATATATATATATATATATATATGAAAGCTGGCTGCCTTGGATCAAAGTCTAGCGCAAGCTGGACTCCTAGGTATTGGTCCAGTGTGGGTAGATTGGTAAAACACTGCGTACCTTGTTCCAAGGTTCGTAGGTTCGAGTCTCCTTCAGACAGAGATCGGTATTTATATATATATATATATATATATTATATATATATATATTATATATATATTTATATATATATATTTTTGTGTGTGTGTATATAAAACACAGGTACATAGAGAGAAACAAAATGGAGTATATAGGAGAGGAAGTGTTCACAGAGTTCCCTCGACTACATTTCCTTTACCTTGGAATAATCTCTACAAACGTGGCACCAGGACCCTTTTCGGGGACTCCCCGACTTCACCTATGTAATACCACCTTCGCCTACTTTAATTACCCCCTTCCCTATTAATTACCAGATTACTATAAAAAAAAAGCACTAAACCCACTGGGGTATGCAGTGCCTTGCTGTAATCCCAAACTTTCAACACTATAAGTTCCCCGTCCCCTTTTTAAAAAGAACTGATGTAAGTGCTACTTTATCTTTTAAAAAATTTTACGAAGAAATGCACAAAAAAAATGTATATTTTGAATAAATTATAAATAATATTAATAATAATTTTAAAATTTATAAAAATAATAATAATAAAAAAAATAAGAACAATATTATTTTTATTTTATTTATTTAAAAAAAACAAGAAGGGTTTGGAAAAAAAATCATTAATTTGCAGGTAATTAGTGCCTATGACTGGCGAAAATCTCGAAATAAAAAAGAGAAAATTCAAATGAGCCAAAAAATTTAAAAATTGTTAATATTTTTAAATACGTTTAATAAGCAAATATTCACAAATTTCGGAAATGTTTTTTTGTGTTATGGTGATCGGGCCTTTTTTCAATAAAATCAAAAAAAAAGCCATGAGATGACGGAGGGTCGGCCTCGACCCATAGGGGGCGGGGGGTCGGCCCCGACCACCATGAGGTGACGGGGGTCGAGCCTCGCCACCATGAGTGACGAAGGGTCGAGCCTCGACCACCATGAGGTGGGGGGAAAAGGGGGCGAGCCCGACCCCCAAATGGGGGGGGGGGTTGGGGGGTCGAGCCTGCCCACCATGGGGTGAGGAGGTCGGCCTAAAACCCCACCATGAGGTGACGGAGGGTCGAGCCTCGACCACCATGAGGTGGCGGAGGGTCGAGCCTCGACACCATGAGGTGACGGAGGGTCGAGCCTCGACCACCATGAGGTGACGGAGGGTCGAGCCTCGACCACCATGAGGTGACGGAGGGTCGAGCCTCGACCACCATGAGGTGACGGAGGGTCGAGCCTCGACCACCATGAGGTGACGGAGGGTCGAGCCTCAATGAACCTGAGTTTTTGGTGACCTGAATACAGGTGCTGGTCCATTAACAAACTTTTACAGCGGAACAACATTTCTCTCTGTTTATAAGTTCAAGTCACTATTTGGTTATGCGCTACACTGTACGAAATATGACTTAATAAAACTAACACAGAGTCAAATAGGACTGACTAAACTCTAAACAAAGAGAGACGTGGCTTGATAAAGCTCCAGGGAGATAAACATGATAACGTGAAACGAGACTTGGTTAAATAAGACTTGGTACAGTGGAACTTGACTTTAAATGCGACTTGTTTAATCATGATGAAGCAGTTCACAGAGCTAAGAATGACTTGACAGGGGTCTAAACAAAGCAAAAAACAACATAGGTTGAAAAACTCTACGGAAAGCTCTACAGCTGAACATCTTTCTCTCTCTACACATACACTTCCTTGAACGTGACATCCATAACATTCCTCTCTCCCTCAGGTCTCTTGAGAGGAATCACCTCAGCACGCTACTCAACGCTACCTTCTCTGGCTTGGGCAGACTCAAGACCCTGTGAGTACACAGATGAGTACACAGCTGCGAGTACATGGACGTTAGAGCACGGTTTGTGCTCTAATGCAGGTCAAAAGATAATTAGTATGTTTTTGTCGTCTTTCTTGTTATTTGGGAAAGAATTTGAGAAATAACCATGACCTGGTCAAAGACCAGGTCATGGTAGCGATTTATCTCTAAAACATCACCAGGAAGATTATTTAATTGATCTTTCAAATAAATAATAAAATGGAACTTTTATTATTAAGTTTAGTGGGCTTCTGTCAGTCTCACCAGGATGAATACACACAAAGTTGTATGTCTCTCAATATATATATACTGTACATTGAGACCTTACGTTAATCCTAATTCTAGGGATCAAAGTATGTTTTGATTGGTGGTTAACGTGTTACTTGCAATAATGTTGGTAGAATTACCGACATTTTATTGTGGTAAAGTTTCGCTTGATAAATCTCCTGGAGAGCGCAATGTTGCCGCAGTAAAATGTCACATTAGTTGCTCTTCTGGCCTTTTATCTAGCACATTGCATGCAGCCTTAATGGCCCTCAGTTAGCCGATAGACTTTGTCGCCCAGCTACTCCCCCTCACCAAGTGATGTGGATAAATGGCCCAGAGAACCGACAAGTTGGTAAATCAGACTGCGGACAATATACATACGCAAGCGTTGTACATGTGTCTAATTGATCACTCGATGATAAAATGTTGTGAACTCAGTTGACATATTTTGGCGAGAATCGAGTCATTTTGTGAGTCTTGAGCATTAGTCACTGACATCTGGCCTTAAACAGAGGTACGAATTGTGTTGAAACAACTTAACAATTATCAGATTAAGTTGTATATAATTTACACCTGTTGTGAATAGTTTACACCTGTTGTTTACAATTCAAGGTTTTTATAATTGAAGTTATTTATAATTTTCACGAAAGTGTGAATGTTAGGCAAATTTACTTCGAGAAGTAAATTTGAATACAGTTAATTAGGTTACACTGTAAATTCATTTTAAAACAAAGCTGACGATGTAACCTGTCTGACGAGTCACTTAACTCATTAAAAAAAAACATTACCATTAAGCTTTCATTTTTTTCGTGTCAACCTGAATGCGGGACACAACCTCCTGACGGAATCCTGTGCGGAGAACCATTAGTTTCCAGTATCACTAGACGCAATTTCCCATGATAAATTCTACTTCCTATAACATATATATGTATATATATAATATATATATATATTATATATATAAATATATATATATATATATATATATATATATATAATATATATATATATGAATATGTAAGACACACTATATATATAGGTAGATCATGAAATAAAATGAAAGGAACTGAGCGCTATATGCAAAGTGTTAGAGAATGAGCGTGAATTCCCATGGAGTAATAAGAATATTAATAATAAATCCCTAACATAAGTATCTCTCATAAATAGGATCTCTTTTATGTACCTCCAAATGGGGCTGGCATGAGTGGGTAACAAGTGTTAGCATGATACAATAACCCACCTCTCACAGAGTGGGTAACAAGTGTTAGCATGATACAATAACCCACCTCTCACAGAGTGGGTAACAAGTGTTAGCATGATCCAGTAACCCACCTCTCACAGAGTGGGTAACAAGTGCTAGCATGATCCAGTAACCCACCTCTCACAGAGTGGGTAACAAGTGTTAGCATGATCCAGTAACCCACCTCTCACAGAGTGGGTAACAAGTGTTAGCATGATCCATTAACCCACCTCTCACAGAGTGGGTAACAAGTGTTAGCATGATCCAGTAACCCACCTCTCACAGAGTGGGTAACAAGTGTTAGCATGATACAATAACCCACCTCTCACAGAGTGGGTAACAAGTGTTAGCATGATACAATAACCCACCTCTCACAGAGTGGGTAACAAGTGTTAGCATGATACAATAACCCACCTCTCACAGAGTGGGTAACAAGTGTTAGCATGATACAATAACCCACCTCTCACAGAGTGGGTAACAAGTGTTAGCATGATACAATAACCCACCTCTCACAGAGTGGTAAACAAGTGTTAGCATGATACAATAACCCACCCTCCATCACTCACAGAGTGGGTAACAAGTGTTAGCATGATACAATAACCCACCTCTCACAGAGTGGGTAACAATGTTAGCATGATACAATAACCCACCTCTCACAGAGTGGGTAACAAATGTTAGCATGATACAATAACCCACCTCTCACAGAGTGGGTAACAAGTGTTAGCATGATACAATAACCCACCTCTCACAGAGTGGGTAACAAGTGTTAGCATGATACAATAACCCACCTCTCACAACCAAATCCATTTTAATTTTGTGTTGAAGCAGAGTAACCCATATACGATTATGTTTTAAACCTGTGTGTCCTTGTTAAGTAATTTCAAGAGAATAGATAATAGTTCCTCTTATTGCTCTTATGATCGTCTCTTGTGGTATGAATTTTTCCCTGACCAATTAAAGTATTTTCAAAACGTTTGTTTGAATACAATTCTTAATTAGGAGCAAAGACACAAATTTCTAGTAATAATTAAAATAATAATAATAATAATAATAATAATAATAATAATAATAATAATTATTATTATTATTATTATTATTATTATTATTATTATTATTATTATTATTATTATTATTATTATAATATTAAGTGGTGATGTAATAATGTCAGTCTATGTAATATTTTCCAGAAATTAGATTTTTATTACTAATTAACATGCAGATGATCGTTCCTAACACAATCAGCAACTAGAGGAGAATAACAACGCTTTTTTTTCAGTGTTCTTCAAAACAACGGCTTGAGAACCCTAGAAGCTGGAGCCTTTAGTGACCTGGTGTCTGTTGAGTCTATGTAAGTATATGTATACTTTACAAAAGTATCTCCTTCTTCTTCTATGTATACCTTATTACCTAAAGCATACTGTTGGAATATAATATATATATAATATATATATATATATATATATATATATATATATATATATATATATATATATATATATATATATATATATATAAATAATATAGGGAAGTACCACCTCTATAGCTGGAATGGGGACCCTCATCCTCAGAGAAGACAATAAACGTACCTCAGGGAAAACTCAAGGTTCTCCCCGGAGCTGTTTGAATATTTTCTTCTCCTACCACCCCCTATATTTATATTCTATGTGAACATTTATTAATAAACAAATACATTTACAGAAAAAAAACATAAACATGAATACAATGCACAATGTATCAAAGATGATGAATTTCCTCCAGCTCCTCCGAGGCTGGACGTGAACCAAGTATGCAGCAAGCATTTCCCCTCTGGATGGCGACGCTGAGGCGCTGGAACATGAAAGTGGCTGCCCTTGGGTCCCTGTGGTGTCGATGAGTCTGGAACCCAATTCTTTAAGGAAACGTGTGGCATTTTTTCCCCATGATCCCAAGGTCTCTGATCCCACTGGGACAAATTGATACTGTTGGCTAATGTCCCTGTACTTGCTGATCTTGTACTCCTCCCTGTGGTCAGCAGCTCCTCCCCTGTCGCCCCACACTGTGATGGATATAGGTTTCAGCCAGTGTGGACACACAGGTATAGTCCCATGCTAAGAGCTTGCCATTCTTCCAAGGATAGATGGTGATCCCGTCGGGGCGGTTTGCTGGGTTGTGGGTATTGTTTGCTGCAAGTGATCGTGGCTCCCTCTCGCAGGGCATCCAGCTGTAGCAAGGGTTCTCTTAATGATGTCGTTGACCTCATTGTGTCTTGCATGCCAGCCCTTGGTTTTGGAACAGTTAAGACCATGTAGACCGTATTGGTCTGCTTGCACTTCGCCGCAAATACACATATATTCTGTGTGAATTGGGGCAGCAAGGCGCAGAGCCACTGCAATACGGAGGGTCTTAGGGTCGAGTCGCGTTTCCCATTGCCGATATGGGAACTGTTTGGAGGAAGTCCCCGGAGTGAGGTGCACTCCACAGCCTGGAGACGGGCAATCTCCCTATCTGATGTTGCAGCCCCCCTGAGCATGTTGGCAAGCACCTTTTCAGCAATTGGGCTATCCCAGCTTGACTGTTTGTGAGCCAGTGCTGCACTAGGGTTTGGTGCTGGAGCAGCAAGAGTCCTCCCATTCGGTGATGGCACTGACATAGCTAGGGTCTTCTATTCCTGCTGAGTCACTGAGGGTGTCAGGAAGAATTTGTCTTATCAACTCGTTTGATGCAATGGAAGAGGATAGGAAAGCTGGTAGAGCAATCTGGGAGGATCTGCGTACTCCTAGCCCTCCAAGCCTGACCGGAAGTGAGGCTTGCAACCACTGTCCATCGTCAAGGGAAAGATTCAATACACTCTCTAGCATGGCCTTCAGGAGAGAGTCATATTCCTTGAGTTTGGACTGCTGAAGGCTGGGGAGCACTCAGAAAATAGGTAAGTTTTGGGGTTGACAGGCACCTGGTGAGTAGGTAGAAGGCATCGTGTGTGTCAATGTCTTTCATCCTGCTTTCCATCGTCCGGAGGTCTGAGACTTTTTTTCCTAGGATCAGATCGATGGCATTGGACCCAAGAGGAGCACCGAGGAGAGTGCTATTGGCTGGACCAATGGCTCGTGCTCCTGGTAAAACGGTACTAATATTCTGGATCAACTGTTGATTGGTAGAAACTATTTCACATTTGGTGGGGTTTAAAGAGAGTCCCAGGCTTTCTCCCATGTCTTTAATTTTACTGATGTCCTCCAGGAGAGATTCTGTTGTGCCAGCTAGGGTACCGTCGTCCAGGAACCAGATATTGAGCTCGCTGGAGAGTGCCTCCGTGACTTCCTTGATGACCAAACAAAATAGAAAGGGGGCGAGAGGGTCCCCCTGTTGCACGCCCTCACTCGAGTCAGTTTCATGGTCCCCAAACAATAGTTTGGAAGTCACACTATAACACGATTCTAGAAGGATAAAGGGAAGGGAAGTTTCTATAAACTGCTTGGAGAGCAGCATCCCTTCTGACTGAGTTGAAAGCATTGGCAAAGTCCAATTTGACCAAGGCTTTTTCATAGGACATGTTTTTGATATATACTCGTGCTGCGTGGGCAGCTGCTTCACAGCCCTGTTGAACGCCGAAACCGAGCTGAGTTGGTTTCAGCATTGCAGCAGCCTCTTGACTCACCCTTCTTACTGCAGCCTTGGCGACTAGGCGCCGAAGGGTGTTACCCACTGCAATGGGCCTGATTCCGCCATCCTTTTTCCGGAGGGCACACAATGAGGCACCAAAGAAAAAGGGTCTGATGGCCTCTGGGACACCGCCAGCCAGGCACAGGTTGGAAAATTTGGTGAGTTCAGACAGCAGCCTCTCTAAACCTCACCAAGTGCTGGATTGAGTATTTGTTTTAAGTGTTGAGGCCTTAAACCGGTGAAACCTCCTGCTGAACCCTGTGGAAATGACATAGCAGCTTTATACACATCAGCATCCTGTAAGGTTAGATGTTCTTCGCCTGCTGCAATGTCAGGGAGGTCAATGTTGGTACTGGGAGCCCTGGGTGGATGTTTGTCCTTCAGAGCTTGCGCCGTGCTGACGTCCTTGGGAGCGATGGTATCCTCACTGGTATATATATATATATATATAATATTATATATATATATATATATATATAATATATATATATATAAATATATATATATATATATATATATACACGTCATTGCTACTTCTACTTACACTTAGGTCACACTACACATGCGTACAAGCATATATATACACACCCCTCTGGGTTTTCTGCTATTTTCTTTCTAGTTCTTGTTTATTTCCTCTTATCTCCATGGGGAAGTGGAACAGAATTCTTCCTCCGTAAGCCATGCGTGTTGTAAGAAGCGACTAAAATGCCGGAGCAAGGGGCTAGTAACCCCTTCTCCTGTTTCGAGGTTTCGAGGTTTTGACCTGAGGGTTGGTGAGGATGGGAAGGAAGAGGGGGGGAGGGCTGGAAAAAATGGAAGAGGTTGGGAGGGTGGAGTAGGAGGTGGGGGCAGCAAATGGGTGGTCTTCCCTCGGGAACGTAGTGCAGAGGTACTGCAGGTCGAGATGTGCTGGTGGCAGCAGTGTCGGTAGAGTAGGGCTGGTGCTCAGGTGTCTGGCAGGAGATGGCTGGTGGTGCCCAGGAAAACAGGGTCGTTTTGGAGCCCACCCCCCGCTTTAGCTAAAATACAAAGTCTGGGAAAACTTTGGTTCTGGCGATGATGATTAGACTGTGCAGCTGTCGGAGAAATTTCTGACTGTTTAATTTTGCTCTTTGAGAGGTGTAGTACCTTCTTTTTTGGAGTTGATGTAATTTTATCGTTGAGGAGCCCGAAGGGATTGAGGGTTGGGGGTGGAATTTCCTGTAGGGTGTATTTTTGCAGTGTTTTTTGGAGTCGTAGGCCAGTTCGGGGAAGGGGGCATAGCTCACTGTATGGTTTTCGGGGTGAAACGTGGCATATCGGGTTTGAGGGCCCAGCTTTGCTGGTGGGGGTTGAGCTGGGCGATGGGGGGTTTCTGATGGGTCAGTAGTACAGGGGTGGCAGGTGGGGGTGGGTTCACGTTGTGGTTCTTCTGGGGTTCAAGGTCTCTGGGTTGGTTCTCGTTGGGGGGTTCTTCTGCGATCTCAGGGGTCTCTGGTTGGGCCAGCTCAGTTTTGGTGGGTTGAGGTAGCGGGGGAGCAGCACAATGTTAGGGACATTTGCAGTGGATTTTGAGAACTCAGTGGAAGGTTTGATGCGGGGAATGTGAAACCCGGGCATTTGTTACTTGAAAGTTCGTTGATGGCGGTATTGAAGGACCGGGGCCACTAATTCTGTACAGGGGCATCATGATGCAGTAAAGGATTTTGGTGGATCACCAGCGGGGGCTGGCAGGGGATGGTGGGGGCTGCTTGTGGGGCTTGAAGTTTGGGGTGTAGGGGCAATGAGGTTGTTTTGGGTTGGGCTATTTTGTTGAGGGTATTGTTTCTTGGCTATGTCTTTTCGGAGGGCATCTGGCCGCGAGAGTGGGTGGTTTTTCTTGCAGTTCCCGGGGATTTAGGGGGCACAGTGTCAGTTTTTGAATCGTACCCTCGGGGGCCACAGGTGGGGCAGAATTTTTTGTCCTTGGCGTGCAGTCTAGGGTGGTATGTTGGTAAAAAGTAGCTTTTGTAGCAGTGTGAATTTGTAGGAATTTTTCTTCTTCGATAAAGGGTTTGGTTTATTGGAAAAAGGAATAGCCAGGCCCCTCACTAGAGCTCTGGTTCCATTTGACCGCTGAAGGGCACCTTCCAGGATGAAGCGTTGGGTATCTTGGTAATGTATCCACCTTAGCCCAGGGTTTTGTGCCTAATGGATGATTTGTTTTTCAAGGGGCCTGTGCAGTGATAGGTTGTCGGGCGCTTGAGGAATACAGTTTTCCTGGCCCCCGAGTGGGGAAGTCAAGACAAGGAATCCTGGGCTCAGAGTGGTGGTAGCAGTAGTGGGAGAGTTTTCTCCTGAAAATTTCTAAATTTGAAAAGAGAAACTTTTTTTTTTTTTTTGAGTCACCCTGCCTCGTTGGATACGGCGGTTTGTTGGAAAAAAAAAAATAAAATTATATATTATTTTTTATTTTTTTATTATCCACTGGGCCCATTTCCCCCCAAAGGGAGGGTGGGCCCCAAAAAGAAGAACTTTCAACCATCATTTTACTCCCTCACTGCTTGCCAAAGGGGGCTTTACACTACAGTTTTTAAACTGCAACATTAACCCCCTCCTTCGAGTCGGGGACTGTACATATATATAAAAATTTTAAAATAAAATTTAAAATAAAATAAATATAATAAAAAATTTATATATATTTTATTTTATATTTTAAGGTGCCGAATATTAAAACGTCAATTACAAAAACCATTTTAAAAAATTAAGTCCTTTCTAAAATTTTCTTTTATACGTTTAAAGATAAATTTTTTTCATTAATGTTAAAGTAAAAATGTTTAAATTTTCAACAAAGAATTTTAGAAAAAATTTCCTAAAACCCTTTTTAAACAAGAACAATTTATTTTAGCCTAACCAATAAAAAATATTTTATATTTGTTTACGTAATTTAATACTAAACAAACACAGTGAAATATATTTTTTTTTTGTTAGGTTAGAATGATTTTAAACAAATTTTTGCATACAAAATTTTCACTTGTCCTATATGGGAAGATGAAGTTACTATTTAAAAAATCGCAAATTCCCTATTCGGCCGACATATATATATATATATATTTATATAAAATTTTATATAATATATATATAAAATATAAAATATATATATATATATTTAAATATTTATTTTATATATATTATAAATAATTAAAATTTATTATAAATATATAATATAATATAATTTTTATATATATATATATATAAATATAAAATATAAAGCTGACATTCATTAACACAAAATCTACGTTTATGTGGTAATGAATGACATTCGCCACAAGTTGGTTAAAAGATCAGATTTCCCTTTTCCAAATGTGGTATGAATAAAATAAAAAAAAATAACAATGGTTATAAATGACCATAATTTTTAAAGGGTTGGACCGGTAAGCCAGCGGAAGGCCTCGGTCAGATGACCAAAAGCTCCAAAGGCGTGTCATCATCTGACTAAGACCCGCGTCAGAAAACATTTGTCCTGTTTCCTGACGAACCTTACCTAACCTAACCTAACCAGTGATGGTTATTGCAGACGACAGACGTAAATATACATAGAAAACTTCTTGTGCATGACTGACTTAGACTGATAAATTAATTCTGATCTTAAGTTTACAAATTAACTGGACTTTCACAGAATAAATATTATTATTATTATTATTATTATTATTATTATTATTATTATTGTTATTATTAAAGATTCGCCGGTATTCTCCCGGCCCGGGCCTTTTCCAAGTAGTGGCCCGGCCTTTGCTCCCCGTCTAGGGAGTGTCTGAGACCTAAGTCTCCCATCGGGGGAGGCACAAGTACCCCCTCATATTTGGGACCAACTGTCCCCAGGCCTAGCTTCTCGTAGGGAGAAGCTAGGCCTCTCTGGTCTGCCATCCCCGCCCCAAGGGGGCTAATGGGAATGACAGTCTTCTGAGGTGGAAGCTCGGGCTCAGATACCTACCCTACTCTAAAAGGGCTGGGCATGGTGTCGATGAATATTTTTTTCCTCGCCGGTATTCTCCCGGCCGGGTCTTTTCCAATAGTGGTGACCCGGCCTTGGCTTTCTCTCTGGGGAGTATCTCGAGACCTAAGTCTCCCATGGGAGGAGGTACAAGTACCCCCTCATCTTTGGGACCAACTGTCCCCAGGCCTAGCCACAGTCCCCGCCCTCACGGGGCTCGTAGACAGAAGCTAGGCCTCTGGTCTGCCATCTGCCCCCCCCCCCAAGGGGGCTAAAGGGAATGACAGGCTTGTGAGCTGCAAGCTCGGGCTCAGGCACCTACCCTACCCTAGAAGGGCTGGGCATGGTGTCGATCGTCGATGATTATTATTTATTATTAAAGATTCGCCGGTGTTCTCCCGGCCCGGACCTTTTCCAAGTAGTGGCCCGGCCTTTGCTCCCTGTCTAGGGAGTGTCTGAGACCTAAGTCTCCCATGGGAGGAGGCACAAGTACCCCCTCATCTTTGGGACCAACTGTCCCCAGGCCTAGCCACAAGCTAGGCCTCCCTGGTCTGCCATCCCTCCCCAAGGGGGATAATGGGAATGGTAGTCTTGTGAGCTGCAAGCTCGGATTCAGGCACCTACCCTGCCCTAGAGGGGCTGGGCATGGTGTCGATGTCGATGATTATTATTATTATATACATGTATTTTAAAATTTATATTAATATTACTATAAATTTTAATATATTATTTTATTATATTATTATTAGTAAAGTCTACTAACGTGTGTTATATTTTTTAATATTTTTTTTATTACTGTAACATCATTTGAAAATCATGTAAAAATAAAGTTAAAAAATATTTTAACGGACTAACAGTTTTATTTCGTGTGTAGGAACTTTTGGGAAAGGGAGCAGCCTGGAGGAAGACCCGAACTGACGTCTTCAAGGAGATGACCCGCCTTGGTTTCATGTTAGTATTTTGTGATATTAAAATATAATATATATATATATATATATTATATATATATATTTTTATTATATATATATTATAATATATATATTTATATATATAATATAATTATATAAATTTTTATGTATTTATATTTGAAATTTGAAATTTTTCTTAATGGACATGAGTTGATCATCTCTCGTCTGTAGATATTTTGAGGTTTGACGTGCTCTCTGGGACTGCACGTCAGGGGGTGCGAACCTAAGGGGGCGGTATCTCTTCCGTGGAACATCTCCTGGACAGCCTGGTCCTCGGTCAGGTAGGAAAATTTTTAAAATCATAAAAAAATTTGGACAAAAAAAATTTTTTTAGATTTTTTTTCTCGGGGATACTTCATCTTGCTTGTCATTCTATAGGAGAATAATAGCACACACTACCGGTTTTTTTTATCTGCTGCTTAAAAGCGAATTAATTAACCCTGTAGAATACTAGAGAATATTTTGCAACTTACCCAACGTTAAAATAATACACTGCTTTAGATTGTTGTTATAATGGATTTGCAAGCAAATTAACGAGTTCTGGGTGAGGCGAGATGTCAACAAGACGAGAGATTATAATGATGTGGCTCATCATAATGAATCCAACTGTGGATCCGTAGTATCCGAAGTATCTTTAGCGTGCATAAAGTGAAGAAATGAATCTGGTATATTAGATTTTGTTGGAGTATCCAGATAGTGAGAGGAACTATTGAGAAGTAGAGAGAAAGCACAACATAAAGAGGAGATGGATATGTATTTGAGGAAGAGGCAATTATAATTGTTGAAATAAGAGAAGCGACGAGTGTCATTGAGTTTCAAGCTCTTACATTTGTTGATTTATTTTACCTCGATACACAAACTCTTGTTAAGAAATTCTTCTCTTTCATGTTGGCAGTTGTTCTCTGTATTTCAGAATATTATTTATTACATCAATAATAATTGTTATCAGTATGGCTACTTCTACTATTACGAATACTCTCGTTACTATTACTATTACAGATATTATATTAATTACTATCACTACTTATACTGATACCTATAATATTTTCACAATATGTATAAGTTCTCGGGTGATGTTCCTGCAGTGTGTGGGTGATGGGGGTTCTTGCTTGTGCTGGGAACCTGCTCGTCTTGATTGGGAGATACGTGGTGAAGGAACCCAACAAAGTCCACTCTTTCTACATCAAGAACCTCTCCCTCTCAGACCTCTTGATGGGTGTATATCTGTTCATCATCGCCTCCTACGACGCCTTCTTCAGAGGGGCTTACATCCGCCACGAGTATGCGTGGACACGATCTTGGCAGTGCAGTCTCTGTGGTGAGTCCCTTAGTACATCTCTCCTCTCTCTCTCTCTCCCTTCTTCTCTCTTTCTCCCTTCTTCTCTCTTTCTCCCTCCTTCTATCTCTCTCCCTCCTTCTCTCTCTCTCCCTCCTTCTCTCTCTCTCCCTCCTTCTTTCTCTCTTCCTCCTTCTCTCTCTCTCCCTCTATCTCTACCAAAGATGGGATATTCTGTAGCTCTAAGAAGGGAAATGTAGGAAGTTTAACATTGCCTTTTTCTTTATTAAGTTCTGAGAGGCAGAAAAACGTAATGAAATATTTATTACACAAGACTCAGGACGTGACTTACGAAATCGTAATGACACGACTGCAAACAAACCATACCACAGATGGGGTTAGAACCCACGATCAGAGTCTCATAAAACTCCAGACCGTCTCGTTAGCCACTGAGCCAGCTAGCTACAATAAGCTAGCCAGCTAGCTGGCCCAGTGGCTAACGCGACGGTCTGGAGTTGTGTGACTCTCTGATCGCGGGTTCTAACCCCGCCCGTGGTACGCTTTAATCAGGACGTCTCTGAAACGGTTCAGTTCAGTATGCGGCTGTCAAGATGACTCATTAGCTAATTAAGTTGGTCTTCGTTTATTTTGAAAATATTCTGACAAGGATCACACATGACATCAAAGTTTTACAATTACCCAGTTTCCTCTAAAATTAACCAAAGTTATTTAAAAGTATTCACTTTCACTCAATTATTCAGTGATTTCTTGCTTCCTGCTTTAATTTTTTTTATCCTGTTTCTTATTTATTTAACTTCTGTACTGCACATTGTTTGCTTATTAGCATGTACACATTTTCTATTTAGTTTTTTTCTGTTTACCTACTTTTATTGGTTTTCTTTTTGTTTATCTTAATTTCGTCAGTGATGTTGATCAGATTTTTCTGCTTTTGTTCTCTCCCTCGGCCGACAGGTTTTCTGAGCACGTTGAGCTCCGAGGCGTCTGTGTTCACTCTCACCACTATTACTCTCGACCGCTACTTCTCCATCGTGCACCCGTTGACATTGAAGGAACGGACGTTGCGGGTCGCCTTCGGGGTGATGGTAGTTACCTGGTCCCTGGCAGCACTTCTGGCTGTTCTCCCTCTGTTGGGCATCCAGTACTACGGTAACAACTTCTACGGCAGCAACGGCATGTGTCTCCCGCTGCACATCCACGACCCCTACGCTAATGTGAGTGTGTCGAAGCATTTCCTACAAGATACATAAATTAGTACCATGCTCAAGATCTTTACATTTTATAGTTGACGTACGAAATCAACTGAGTACAGTTACCTACGTAAACAGAGAAACTCTAGCAAAAGTATATATATATATATATATATATATATATATATATATATATATATATATATATATATATATATATATATATATATATATATATTGTGTGTGTGTGTGTGTATTAACATGTCTTGCTCCTCAGGCATGGGAACACTCCGCTATCATCTTCATTGGGTTCAACTTAGTGGCCTTCATGTTCATCGCTTACGCCTACGGCAGGATGATCCTGGCCATCCGCGAGTCACGGATGTCGCTGAGATCGACGCAAGAGAAACAAGACCGGGTTTTGGTGAAACGTTTCGCGTTCATTGTAGGCACAGATTTCCTGTGCTGGATGCCGGTCATTATTATCAAGGTCATTGCACTCGCAGGTAATTATAGATGAAAAATGTGTGGTCTTTTGAAGAGGGGGATAGTGTATAGCGGTGTTTGTGGAAAAGGTGAAATGCATTAACCTTTTATAGAGACTGTGTATGTGTAAGTGACAACACGTGAATTAAGGCTTTTAAGCATACATAGTAGAAGCCTGAAGTGGAAGTGTATTAAGATTGTCATTTTAGGTGAAGAGGCCATGTGGCTTGTTCTGTCGTCTTAAATAGTTATTACAAAACATTATGTTATTACAACTAGTTGTTATTTTCAGGTGTTGTGATTGATAGGACACTTTATGCCTGGTTGGCTGTCTTCGTTCTTCCTGTCAATTCAGCACTTAATCCCATCCTCTACACACTGGCTACTAAAATATTCAAACAACAGGTATAGTTTTTATTAATACTTATCAGGTAAATTTTTATACTTGGAATGATGTAAAAAGAAAGAGTCAAAATTAGACAGTGTGAGAATATGAAAAAAAAATAATGAAAGAATGAGAGTGCATGCGAAATATTACAGCAACTTAACTGACTTAACTGATCGATAGTTATGTTTTAATGCAGTAAGTTTAAAGAAGCAATGCCAGTAAGACTTGCATTGTCTGGGAACAAATGAGAGATTCACTGACAGAACAATCAATCACATTAATGAACTTGGCCTTAAGAGAATAATGTCTGGGCACAAAAAAAGAAGTAAAAAAATAAACGATTTCAAACTTCTAGATAAAATATTTAATATGCATTTAACCAATCACTGTTATTCACAGGAATATACACTGTGACCGTTTTTTTAAGGTATATATATGTCTCCAGACATATACCTGATTGAAAATGCCAAGCAATTGAAATAGTGGTCGTTTAATCAGTTAATTGGAACCAATTATTCCTTTGCATTTTGATTCTTCCTTCATCTGTTATTAATTATTCAGCTGAAGTCATGCTCCAGAGGACACCTGAAAGGATGGGAAATGTTGAACTTATCCAGCACTTTGACTCAAACACACCGACACTCACAAGTCAAACATATTGTTCAAACATTAAAATCATTTCAATCAAGAAACACAAGAGAAAATATGCTTATTACGCTACGTTAAGATAACCCACATTAATTAAAAAACTAAACTGACATAAAAGACTCTTAAAATTTCCCCTGAGTAATTTAGGTAATTAGGGAAAACACATGACCTATGGAATACGTTCAACAACATACTACAAGTCACAAACACGCACAAACATGTATCTACAGGTGAAGTGTATAAGTGTATAAGTGCCTCATTCTTCTTGAAAAAGAAGTGGCAAGCTCCCATATTATCTTAATTCAGTATAATTTGTTATTCGTCTTTAGAGGCTGCTGAGCCATCACTTAGTGAGGACGTATCGATGTGACCACTTAATTTACTGTGTGACAGATGTCTGCTATGAAGACTCGATTCAACGGTCTTTATTCTGTGATGAATGAGTCACACGAGCAGCACTTGGGTAGTTTTCTTTAGTCGAATGAGGAGATGATTTTAATACTGGAGACAGTAGAAGAAGTGGAGATTTTGAGATGTTCAGTTACTCAGCCTTGACAGAAAGTGCTCAGTCCCTTAACCTTAAATGGAGTTCCAAGGTCCACCAGAACTCCACATGCTTGTACTGGACGTGGATGTGGACTAGCCATTCGTAGGCTCGATGCAACCAGTTCTGCATTTATTTAATAAAACCTCGTTTTGGCGAAACGCTGTTAAAATTAAGACGTCCAGGTTTTGCCTGTGTGTCTAATGCATCATCATAGTGTTTTTGTTGTTGGCGATTCCGTATAAGGTACTGTTGATTATATGGCAGCTGTTGATGATAAAGTTGTAGATGTTATAGTGCTGAAGAATGACGTGTCTACAGGTAGTGAAGATGGTCTTCAATATGAGTCGGTGGCCAGTGGCTCCCCCCAGAACCGGCACGGATTCTAACCCGTCCAATTCTTACGTGATGGTTTACAGAGGTCGCTTCCAAACTGTCCAGGTAGACTCATGCTAAATTTTCAAGAAATAATATATCTGTCTCTACTTATAAAGATGATTTATGTCTATAAAATCAATGCCCTGGGATAACTATATCTGAATAATTGTATTATATCTACTGCTGTTAGCGTAAATAATTATTGTGAAGGTAATAGACTGTATTGATACTTCTACTACTAGTCTATTTCATCACTAAGAGTGCTTCTGTTCTTACCACCACCATCTACTACTACTACTACTACTACTACTACGCACTAAATATTACCTTCTACTACATATAATAATGCTTCCATTAACATTACTTTATTTACAATAAAGCACTCTTATTCCAACAAAGCTACTGTTACTAGTGCACTAGTACTACCACTAGCACCATTGCTACTTGTATTACTACAACCTCTACCTGATAGATGGTATAATGGTAGCAAAATGTGGTTAAGTAGTACACTATCTAATAATGTTTTATAATTAACTGCAGTTCTTCATGATGATGTTATAACTGACTTAGAGTTTCATTATTTTTTTCTTGACAGATGTCTACCCGGACAGCGTCGACGTGGCTACAAAAACAAAGAAATTGTAGTTTAGACCAGCGAAGTGTGTACGGCACAGCCTACACCACGCCCAGTCCATGTATTTGCCCGCCCTCCTGCGACATCTGAACACTGTCAACCTTAATGTTTCTCCTACTACAGATGTCCTTGTCACCTGCGATATCACTGCCCTTTTCACCTCAGTATCTGTTTTCCGTCTCCTTATCGAAACCTAAATTATCTTTAGGGGGAATGTGACATTGTTTTTCATGTCAACTTTGTCATAACTGTTGAATTCTCTCTTTTTCTCTCTCGCCTCTGATGTTTATGTTTCAGCGTCTCCATCAACAGGTAATGAAAAACGGATGATAAAACATATTTCCGTTCAGTATTTTTGCTCTCATCGTATTGTTGAATAAAACTCGAAAAAATGCATGAATTTTGAGCAAGCAATGAGTGATCAAATAACAGAGGAATACTGAATTTGCGTACAAGAACAAACTATACCACTAAAGTTGCGTACTAAGTGCAAATGTGAGTAGCACAGTAGTATGCATATAAATTGGGACAGTGATGAAATAAACATTTATTTGAGAAATACACGGCAATGATATGACAGATAATTGATTTAATAAGAAATATAACCACCCTTTGCCTTTATAAGCATTGCTACACATTTTGGCATAGCATCGACTAATGTCTAACACATTTTGGCAAGTTCTTCGTCGCGATACCAGGTCCGAATAACAGCAGCAATTAGCTTGCAAAGATGAACAGTCCTGTTTAGCGATCCTGCGTTGGGTTATTGCCCATAGATTCTCAATAGGGTTGAGGTCAGGTGAGTTTCCACGCCAGTATAGAACGCTTAGCCCACTTTTTTCGAAGAATGTCGACATTTTTCTCGAAGTGTGGCTCGAAAATGTCTTCTCCATCAGGAAAGTCTCTGTCCATAATAGGAAGCAAATGAGCTGCCAGAATTATCTTGTATTTGTCACTGTTCATCGTTCCCTCTACAATAACAAGCCGTCCAGGGCCTGTAGCAGTAAAGTATTTTCTTACGTGGGTGTTTTCGCGCTTGTTGAATGTGTCCATTCCGAAGAGGTTCGCCTATACTCCTTCTCACTACCGCTGATCTATACCCATGTACTTCAAAATGTGCCTCATCTGAAAATATAAATTTTCTACATTCATCTGTCGTCCATCCCTCATGATCGAGTGCCCACCGTAGCCGTTTTTAGCTAATATCAGCAAACATTGTTTCTTTACCGGCCTTCTGGCAGTTCTGCCAATTTCAAGGAGCCTTCGTGGAACAGTTGAAGAATCAACACTTACGCCATCAAGCCAAATCTCTCTGTAGATCTTTTCTGGTTTTCCTGGGATACCCTCGTCATCGTGAGGTGTTGTTTTGTGTTTTCTTGCACATCTTCCTCGATGCAGCGCTCCACAATCACCAGTGTTGTCAGCTCTCTTCAGAATCCTACCAACAGTTGATTTTGCTAGGCTCAAATTTTCGGCGATCTGGCAGATACTCAATTCATCATGTTTTCTAAGAGTTACAACACTTGCACACTTCCTAGGTGTAACATCCATCGTGAATTTCAGCAGTAATCATGAACTGAAGGGGAGAATTTGGCGAAACCACTTACACTCACAGAGCATGCTTGCAGGAATAGCCTTACAACACCACAACTGTTGTAGCACTGATGAGAGTCGCTGGGTAACACCACAACTGGATGGTTGCCATAAATCTGTAGCAAACTCTTCTGAAAAGAACCAAAACTACATTAATTAAGCCGGAGACTAAGACATGAGAGAGAATCACAAAATTTACTCCTGTCTCAGTTAATTTGCACACTACTGAAATATATTTCAGAATGAAAGCATGTCCTGGCACTTTCTACATGCATTCGCTAACCAGTCACTGACCTTCAGGAATGTAACCAAAGAATCTTTGGGCAAGTCTTGCTCTTGTAGAGACTGAGGACGTTATTGTAGCTTCAGTGTAGGGATTATGATATTCTGCAAGCACCCACACAAGTACAAAAACAGACAAACAAACAGACAGACAGACAGACACACACAGATATATATATATATATATATATATATATATATATATATATATATATATATATATATATATATATTATATATAATATATATATATATATATATATATATATTCGTGCGAATAGCAGAACTTGCGATCTTGGCTTAATAGCAACGATCATCTTGCCATATATAGGACAAGTGAAAATTTGTGTATGCAATAATTTCGCCAAATCATTCTGAACCTAACGAAAAAATATATTTCACTGTGTTTGTTTAGTATAATTACGAAACAAATCTAAAATATATTTAGTTGGTTAGGTAAAAAAATTGCGCTTGTATAATAAGGTTGTTGTAGTTTTCTAAGTTCCTTTTGTGCAAAAATTAATAAATTTTTACATCAACAATAATGAAAAAAATATACTTAACGTATAAAAAGAATTTAGAAAGGACTTAATTTTAAATGAGTTCTTGCTAATTGACCAGTTTTACATATTCGGCACGACATATAATATATAATATATATATTTATATATATATAAAATATAATATTATAATATAATTAATATTTAAAATAGTTTGCATAATGAATATTTACATATATACACGACATATATATATATATATATATATATATATATATATATATATATTATATATATATATATATATATATATGTCGTGCCGATAGGCAGAACTTGCGATCTTGACTTAAATAGCAACGCTCATCTTGCCATATAGTTAGTTTAATATGTTTATTATGCACCCCATACCCATCCTGTGGGCGGTAGTCAAAAGATTAGAGGTACATAATTGGTCCAGGGACTGGACTCCAAAGTTTTGATAGCTGAGCAAGTTACAATGGTAATGAACTAGATCTGGTCATAATCATGACCAAGTTACAAAGGTAATGAGCTCCAGGTAGAGCTGGTCACACTCATGAATAATTGCAAAGGTAATGAATCATAAACACATTAATCATGAGAATTTACAAAGGTAATGAGCTCCAGGTAGAGCTGGTCAAAATCATGACAGGTTTCAAAGGTAATGAATGATAAACACGTTATCACATGATTACAATCATAGACGAATTACAGAGTAATGAGCAGTTAAACATAGTAGGGAATTCATCCAATGCCCCAACAACAGATGTTGCTAGGTGCCTGTCTCTCCTCGGCAGACAGCCATTGCAAACAGCAGCAAGTTGCCCCGGGATCTGCTGCTTGCACGAGCACCATCGACCCTCCCCAAGAGGTCCAAGAAGCCAGTGACTCCGTTAGCAGCCCGATGCAGAGCTCCCCTAGGGACATGTCAGCGTCCTGGTGGACGCCAAGTATGCTGTCCCTGTAGTGGAAGTTCCTGTGAGCCCGGCACTCCCTGCAGTGCCATCGCTGACTTTTTTGGGTTATCCTAGGTTCTCTACACATATGCTGCTATGTATGATAATTCTATGTAACTGTATTGTGTATACCTGAATACATTTACTTACTTACTTACTTAGGGGAGAAGTACCCTCTACAGATAGGGTGGCGCTGGTAGTTGGGTGGGTGAGGCGGGGGAGAGGCGCAGGTGTGAGGAGTTATGAGAGGGTCACTGTTTACTACACACGCCCTCCCCCTCCCCCCCCAGCGGAGAGGGGGGGGGAGGCGCTGAATGGTCCTGACTCGACAACACCAAATCCTCTGAAACTGCACAACACTTCAACTATTTAAGCTGAAACGATGCACTGGGATGTCCGTTCGCTGCTCTGGTATCTTCTCAAAGCACTGGGATGTCCGTTCGCTGCTCTGGTATCTTCTCAAAGCATTCACACTGAGTTCTGTTAAGTAGGGACCTGGTCAGCCTCTTTGACCAGGAGCTTGCCATATAGGACAAGTGAAAATTTGTGTATGCAATAATTTCGCCAAAGCCATTCTGAACCTAACGAAAAAAATATATTTCACTGTGTTTGTTTAGTATTAAATTATTGTAAACAAATCTAAAATATATTTAGTTGGGATAGGCTAAAATAAATTCTTCTTGTTATAATAAGGTTAGGTAAGTTTTCTAAGATTCTTTTCGAGCAAAATTAAAAATTTTTACATTAACATTAATGAAAAAAATATGTCTTTAAACGTATAAGATAAAATTTTAGAAAAGACTTAATTTTAAATGAGTTCTTGCTAATTGACCAGTTTTACATATTCGGCACGACATATATATATATATTATATATATATATATATATATATATATTATATATATATATATATATATATATACATATATATATATTTATATATATATATATATATATATATATATATATATATATATATATATATATTATATATTATATATATAATATATATATATGCAATAAGATCACAGTAAACAGGTGATTTCAAAATATGCAAAACAACCACTCTGAAAGAATAGAGAAATTCCAAGCGCTTTCGTGACTACTCACATTATCAACGAACTATGAAAGTAAAGCATCCAAGGAAGCTATATAAGGGGTCTGGCCAGCACCTCACTATCAGATCCCACAACAGTTAAACACCTGACGCGCGCCGACCCAACTTTGATAGGTCCTTTGCACAACTCACCCACAAACTATTCTACCCAAGAAAATTTAAAAATTATTTGTCCAGATTATTATTAAATTCTTCCCAAATTCTATTAATTATAAATGGATCTAATTTATATAAACCAAAGGAAATATTCATATTATTGTCAAAACTGCTTTTTATGAAACAAGATTCAATTATATTCCTGTCGACCATGGACTTGCTTGATACTACTTTCTCAACTTTTTGAAAATCAATTGGATGGTTAAAATCTCTTACATGAATAAATAGAGCATTGGAATCTTGTCCAGTTCTAATGCTATGTTTATGTTGTTTTAATCTTAGTTCGAGATTTTCACCAGTTTGACCGTAATAAACTTTATCGCAAATTTTACAAGGAATCTTATAGACACATCCATTCTTTCAGAGTGGTTGTTTTGCATATATATATATATATTATATATATATATATATATATATATATATATATATATATATATATATATTATATATATATATATATATATATATATATATTTGCGTGTAGGATAAATTTTTAATCCATATCCTGAAGAATAAAGAGTGTGCTTAGTGTCTGCTTCAGTAAGGATCGCCCGAGGATCCTTAAGTTTCATACAGTGAGTGATTACTCAAGGTATGTTGGTATAGTACCAGCGCCTATATTCTTACATACAGAATGTCTCAAAAAGATGGATTCAATTTCATATATATATTTCAGATATCATGGATCCATCTTTTTAAAACACCCTGTATATTACGATTCAGTTTTGCATTCAGTACACATCTTTAGTGGAGAAGTTTATACATGGATGAGAGTTTTGTGTAAATTATCTCATCATTTAGATTGACAAATATATCCACGTGAACTGACATGAAGTGGCATGAGAATAATCTGCTACAATGTTTGTAAACCCATGTTTCTTGAATAGTAAACTCGGATGTTTTGACAGGTATAATGAATTTTATATCCTACTGAATGTCTGTCTACATAAGGTTGTATGCAATAAGATTACATGAAATATAATGACAGTGAAAAGTAGCATTATATCAAGTGCTTTTGTGATTTCTAAGATTATTAAGGAGCAATGGCTATGTAAGATTATCAAGGAGAAATTGCTATGTAATATTATCAAGGAACAATGGTTATGTAAGATTATCAAGGAACAATGGTTATGTAAGATTATCAAGGAGCAATTGCTATGTAAGATTATCAAGGAACAATGGTCATGTAAGATTATCAAGGAACAATGGTTATGTAAGATTATCAAGGAACAATGGTTATGTAAGATTATCAAGGAGCAATGGCTATGTAAGATTATCAAGCAACAATGGTTATGTAAGGTTATCAAGGAACAATGGTTATGTAAGATTATCAAGGAGCAATGGCTATGTAAGATTATCAAGGAACAATGGTATGTAAGATTATCAAGGAACAATGGTTATGTAAGATTATCAAGGAACAATGGTTATGTAAGATTATCAAGGAACAATGGTTATGTAAGATTATCAAGGAGCAATGGCTATGTAAGATTATCAAGGAACAATGGCTATGTAAGATTATCAAGGAACAATGGCTATGTAAGATTATTAAGGAACAATGGCTATGTAAGATTATCAAGGAACAATGGTTATGTAAGATTATCAAGGAACAAAGTTATGTAAGATTATCAAGGAACAATGGCTATATAAGATTATCAAGGAACAAAGTTATGTAAGATTATCAAGGAACAATGGCTATATAAGATTATCAAGGAACAAAGTTATGTAAGATTATCAAGGAACAATGGCTATGTAAGACTATCAAGGAACAATGGCTATGTAAGATTATCAAGGAACAATGGCTATGTAAGATTATCAAGGAACAATGGCTATGTAAGAAATCACGATGATACTTTGATTATTGTTGCTGTTGACTACAGTTACATTACATACGGCTGCTTGTGAATAAGACTTGAGATTGGTTGTGACTCGTAAGTCACATGTCTACCAACCTGCTCCTCGTTCCCTTCTAAAACTGCAACTAAATAATACCAAGAATTAAACAACCGATTTCCCCTCGTCTTTTATATATTAAGAAAACTACTGAAGCTTTATCATATATATTTATATATATATTTAATATATATAATATATATATATATATATATATATATATATATATATAATATTAATATATATATATATAATATATATATATATATATATAATATAATATATATATATATATATATATATATATATTACCATCCCTACGTGTCTTGTTTGCGATTGTATTACGAAGTGTGTTCATAAATCTTACGTAAAATACTCAACAAAAAAACAATTCTGGGAGTCACTTAAGTTTTTTATCTGTTCAACTCAGATGAATTTGTACTTAACAACTGTAATAAACAGACATGTATTTAGAAATTAATTCAGTAGCACAACGCGGGCTTATAATCTTAGCGAGTTTATCTGATTTACCTGCTCGTATTTGGTTTCCTTTTATAGACTAGGATCTAACTGCTCTCCTATGTGACTGGGTAAGAATTTAGCTCATTATCTTGTCTGAGTTAGAATAAAGTTTTAACTCTCCATGGGTTAAAATCAACAATTGCTACTGTGATACCAGATACATTTTTATTTTTACTCTGCGTGGTTCAGTCTAATTCTAGTTTTTCCTAATGTCTTCATGTTAGAATATAGTCTTTAATTTTTGCTATTAGTATTTAGTTTTCGATCTTCTCTCTATGTAATGGGATTAGGCTTAGATTTTAATCTTGTTACATGGGTTAGAATCTAGTCATCGCACTATATCTGCGGATTAGGATCTAATATTTTGCCTCCTTATCCTACCTTCATTAGATTTAGAAAGAATAAAAACATTACAATAACGTGGCTGGGAAAGTTCACAAACAGTCCACACGCAGGAGAACAAACTGATAATGACGATACATATTTTCCCTCCCAAGTGCATGTTATCTGTGGATACAATACATTTAATAATGCAATGTAAATACAAAGATTACGTGGGGTTGTATTCCTTTTCTGGTACATGAAGGTAGTAAAAGATAGGTAAAGTATTGTATAATGTGAGACTCGTATTCTGACTGTTATACAGTAACTGTTTGAGCGTTATACAGTGACTGTGTGCGTCATATAGTCACTGTGTGTGCGTCATACAGTCACTGTGTGAGCGTTATACAGTGATTGTGTGTGCGTCATACAGTCACTGTGTGTGCGTCATACAGTCACTGTGTGAGCGTTATACAATGATTGTGTGTGCGTCTATACAGTCATGTGTAGTGCGGTCATACAGCACTGTGTGAGTCGTTATACTTGTGACTGTGTTGCGTCATACAGTCACTGAGTGTGCGTCATATCAGTCTGTGGTAGGTTATTACATTGATTTTGTCGTCCTTCAGTCACTTATTGTGTGCGTCATACAGCCAGTGTAGCGATTATAGTGTTGTGTGTGCGTTATAACAGTCACTGTGTGTGCGAACAGACACTGTGTGAGCGTTATACAATGATTTGCTAGTGATGCTTTACAGTCACTGTGTGTGCATTATACAGTCATGTGTGTGCGCATACAGACACTGTGTGAGCTATATACATATGATTGGTGGTGTGCGTATATACGTCCTGTGTTGATTATAAGTCACTGTAAGTGCGTCATACAGTACTGTGGAGCGTTACATATTGTGTGTGCGTTTACTAGTCACTGTGTGTGCGTCATACAGTCATTGTGTGAGTACTATACACTGTGTGGGCGTCATACAGTCACTGTGTGAGCGTTATACAGTGACTGTGTGCGTCATACAGTCACTGTGTGTGCGTCATACAGTCACTGAGTGGGCGTTATACAGTCACTGTGTGTGCGTCATACAGTCATTGTGTGAGTACTATACACTGTGTGAGCGTTATACAGTGACTGTGTGCGTCATACAGTCACTGTGTGTGCGTCATACAGTCACTGTGTGGGCGTTATGCAGTCACTGTGTGTGCGTCATACAGTCATGGAGTGACGCTTTTCGGTAAATAAAAAATGGCGGAGGTATATATGACACAACATTGTCAGAATCACCTACCCAGGTGCCAGCCTAGAAATATACTGACTATACAATATAATAAGATACCAAAACATTGATAAGCAGTTATATTTAGCTTTTATTAAACACGTTTCGCTGTTTGTGACTTATTTGTCTGCTGTTTGTGACTTGATAAAGCAATGTAAATGGGTGCACCGTCTCCTTTGGCTCGTTACATGGTTTAAATAGTCATGTTTCATACAAGAGTTGGGACCTTTGATTAATCCTTAACAAGTATTTCAAGATCTCACTTTCTTCCTGGATCAATAATTAAGTTTTATTTATCGTTACAGCTTACGAGGATAAGAAAGTATTGAAGGTTCGTTCTTCATAAGAAGGTTTGTGTATAACGAATGCATCCTCATAATTTAGATTCACATTCACTATGCATACACTGTATATACATAATATACAAGGAGGGGTGTTAATGTTGCAGTTTAAAAACTGTAGTGTAAAGCACCCTTCTGGCAAGACAGTGATGGAGTGAATGATGGTGAAAGTTTTTCTTTTTCGGGCCACCCTGCCTTGGTGGGAATCGGCCGGTGTGATAATAAAAAAAAAAACAACTCCGGTTGACACTACCAGGACCAATCAAGGTCGATGTCCACTTTGAAAATACTTGGCGTGCGCCCATTATTTTGTAATTTATTCTGCGTTCACTACACAGCTACTTCTGGTAGTCCACTGCACCAGCCACACTGTCAGTTTAACAAGATGTGTCTGCAAAGAAGCCCCGGCCACACTAATATGTTATGTGATAGTAATACTAGACACCAGCTCAGTGACATGCTTTGTGTCGGGGAGGAATAGTGATATCCATGTCCGTATTTATTTTATTCATCGTTTCACATACATAATCATCATAGCGCAGTTTATATATATATTGTACATACTATATACACACATATATATTTATAATATATTCGAAAAAGTGCAATAACACGTCACCAGGTTCACATAGAGAATTTGTTCCACTGATGGGTGTTGAACGTGACGTTGTGTCAGCCATCACTGTTCATCAGCAATAAGGTAAAGAACACCAACTTAAGCCTGAGAGACTGATTACTCTGGTCTACAGTAAAAATACTTTGTGAATAAAACTATGTATTCTTTACTAGTTTGAGGTCACTGAATACGTAAATAATGCTTCAAATTGTAAAGGGACTCTCTTGATAATGGTAACTACTCAGGCATGTTGCTGTTAGTCTTGACCTGGGAAGGAAGGGTAAATATAACCAGTACAGGGATAGGCTCTTGATTCAAACACAGAATGCCTTATTGTTTAACCCATACATGTAGCCTCGTATAGCCACAATGTGTAATTGTTTGAAAATAAGTAAATTTTTCTTGAACCATTTGATTGTTAGTATGGTCATATTCATTTCCATCGCCTCAAAATCTTTTTTTTCTCCGAAGCTCAAAATTGTTCAAATACTGTATACCAGTCTTACCTTATTTACGGTTGTCGCATATCATTCATATATTGAACTGATAAAGTTACAAGTTATCTAAACGTCTTCAAATAACGATAACCAGGTGTTGAACATGAGTCTAATTTCTCATAATTAGCCTTGTTGAACATATATCTATTGTTTAAAGACTGAGAAAAAAGAAGTCTTTGATAAGATGACAGAGGTGAAAATAACTCATAATCTTCAAATATGGACTTAAGCTCTGTAGACACACTGAGCAGTTTGTGGGACAACAACGAACTTCGAGAATTCAACACCGTTCTTGTTGAAGACAGCGGCACACTTCTCGACAGCAGGTCCTGAGTTCTGGGGAGTACGAGAGAACACGAAGCCGAATTCTGACTTGTACTTGTCGGTGGTGATGCAGGAGTAGACGCAGGAGTAAGTGTCGTAGTCAGTCTCGATGACCTCGTAAGGTGACGCGAATACTGCCGAAAATAATGGACTATTTAAACACGTGCAACACATAAGAGAATAACAGTGGCAAACTACCACTTTATCGATGAGGACTACTGGGTGGGTACTGAAACGGGCATTGATGAATCGTGAATAAGGATGTATGATGAGGCACCTGATATAATTCATGTGCATTACAAAAGTTTTCATTTTGCCTTTTGTCTTACAGAATAAAATTTGAGTATAATTTCTCTAGGATTACCTAATTAAACAAACTGATTCATTTCCATTGAGGTCCTTGACCACCATTCACCTTAATTACATCTGGATTGGGGTGAAAATTTAGTGCTTCTAAAGATGGCTAGCTATTGTTCCCAGTATATAAAAGGGTAGCAACACTTTCAGGCTGTATCCAATTTTGCTAATTAAATTAGTCTCGGGCACAGTTCCCGTTCCACCCAACAACAATAAATAACAGATATTGAGCAAACGGTGTACCAATGTGTGATTTTTTTGAGCTAATATCTGAAAGACAGAAAATTTTTCCGACATGTTGGGTAAAAATTTGATCCACCAATCGCTTGCAGATTAGATACAGCTCCTGACCACTAGGGCGACAGAAACTACCCTACACAGTCACTGGTCCGCGGTCACTCCACCTGGTAACTCTTGGTCTTCTGTCCAGTTCCCCCCAGTATCCCCCTACCCCTACCGTGCTGAACCTTGATTATTCCTGCAAATAAGGAGTCAAAGCATGACTGGACGAGATACCTCATGTTGGTATGCGACACAGTGCGAGAATTAACACAGTCGCTTGGGGACTATAATGGTTATCTGACTATGTAAAGTTGTGTAATATATATATATATATATATATATTTTATATATATATATATATATATATATATATATATATAATATAAAATATATATATATATATATATATATAAAAAACACAATAACACTTAATAGCAAAATTATGTAATCACTTTTCAAAATTAGAGTAAAGTTTCTTAGTGTTTATCTTGCACTTACCTGAGGGAGCATCAATGAGCATGTGAGCTGCTGGGAACTCCTTAGTTGGGTAGACCTTGAAATCAATCTTAACGTATTCGTCGCTGGGAGTGAAACCAGCGGTGGTCACCTTGAAGCCATAGTCACTCTCGGAATATTCATAGTTAGAGTTGATGCAACGAGTGTACGGCTGGTAGGGGTTCTCTATGATGTGGGTCTGGTACCAACGTCCAGCATACTGCAGAGGCCAATAATATAACGATAATGGAAACATAAACATCTCGACCATTAGAGAATGTCTATATGAATTAGCTATGAATCAACAATATTGTATACTCACCCTCCTGAGGTCGAAGTTATCCTGGTTAGACACTGAGGCACATTTTCCAGGTGTGACAAAACTAGGAATTCCGTCTGCAGCAACACAGGCCACGAGAGCGGCAATGAAGACTGTAGTGAACATTGTGCACGATACTCTTACACTGATGATGCTGGTCCCATGCCCTTCCTTATATCCAGACTGCATGAACAAAAAATCAGCGGAGTGTATGAGTACCTACTTTTTTCTGATGATTTTATGAAAAATTTTATGCACGCACTTTGTTCTCTTTACACAACTACTGTATATTTTTTTAATAATACGGCATAGTGAAATTACTAAATTAGCATATGTATGTAATCGACAAAATATAAAATTCATTACGAAAAATCTTAAGTCTGTGAGGAGGAAGATGGCATCAGAGGGAGAGTTGTGGGGGACGGGTCCAGGGATTATATAAGCAATCGACGATGTTCCTGACTCAGAAGCTGCTCTTACCTCACACCATGAAGTTACTCTCCTTCCTGCTGGTCCTCGTGGCCGCCGTCGCTGCTGACAAGATCCCAGACTTCGTCGTCCCTGGCCAGTGTCCTGCTGTTGACGAAAGCAAACTATGGTCCGAGCAAGTACCAAACCATGCCAATGTAAGTTCTGAGTTATGGAACTCATATATTCAGAATGAAATGATCGTATTTTTCACTTACTTTCTAATTAACAATTGTCGCTATAGAAGAGTGTTTCAAGAAAAAAAAAAACTTTTCTTCCTCAAATTAACATAAATTTCAGATTTCAATATTTACTGAAATTATAGACAAATACTGTGATATTATTAGCCATTAATCGCAAAAATTACAGAACTACCAAATTATTCATCACGAAAATGAACTTATTATTGTTTCAAAAGCTCATCTTAGTGGAGAGGAATTTTATAAAGTATTACTTACCATTGTTGACATGTTAGTTTACATATGTTGATACTAACATGATAATTTTGTTTACATTGCAGTACGCAGGTGTCTGGTATCAGTTCGCCCTCACCAACAACCCATACCAGCTCATCGATAAATGTGTCCGCAACGAATATTCCTTCGGTAAATATACCCTTTTCTCAACCATGAAAGTTTTTTCTATTGTATTCTGCATTATTAATTTATTGTACAAAAGTTTGGTATCGCATTAGAGACATTCAAGGTAATTAACGTAATATATTTTAATTTTACAGATGGAAAACAGTTTGAAATCACGTCGACTGGCGTGACTACTGATGGCAGCTTGTTGAAGCGCAATGGGAAGGCCTATCCCAGCCCTCTGGGTGATTCTCATCTCACCATTGACTACGAGAATTGTAAGTTGTCCCTGTTGCTTTTGTAAAATGTTCAAGGGGGGGATTTAATGTTGCATTCAATCAGAACGTAAGGGAACCTTCTAGTTGATAAGATGATTGCCACTAGAGTCTGGGTTTCTTTTGGATCCCCGTTCTCATCCCACATCAGAAACCACATGATTTTACATTGTAAAAATAAGCATAAACTTGCCTGGGTGAGTGTTCCTGTGTTCGTGTGTGCCTGTGTTCGTGTGTGCCAGTGTTCGTGTGTGCCAGTGTTCGTGTGTGCCAGTGTTCGTGTGTGCCAGTGTTCGTGTGTGCCTGTGTTCGTGTGTGCCAGTGTTCGTGTGTGCCAGTGTTCGTGTGTGCCAGTGTTCGTGTGTGCCAGTGTTCTTGTGTGCGTGTGGGTATTTATTCTCTTGGTTCTACCAGCTTGTAGAAAAGTATACTATTTTTTTCAGTTTTATTTAACATTTCACACGACAACAACTTCTCCAAAATGTTAATTCTCAAGTTATTATTATTTTTGCAATAATTGACGGAATGATTTTTTTTTTTTTGGTCAGTGATTGTCTCTTCGGTATATTTTCTTTTATTCACGTTCTGCATTTGATGCCATTTTAGAACTATATGCTAAAAAAAGCTTCTTCTCACCAGCCTGGGCGGCTCCCTACGTTATCCTGGACACTGACTACACTAACTTCGCCTGCATATACTCCTGCCACAGCTACAACTTCGGTTATTACTCAGACTTTGCTTTCATCTTCACTCGCTCCCCAAGTCTGGCAGACAAGTTCGTGAAGCGGTGTGAAGCTGCCTTCAAGAACATCGATGTTGACACTTCCCGCTTCACTAAGACCGTCCAAGGATCTTCTTGCAATTATGATGTACAGAAAACTCTGTAAACGTCTCGATGAGAGATAAAGAACATTACTTTTATGTAATGTTTACTATAATGTGAGATTCTGTGTGGTTGTAATATCTATCGATGTACCATTTCGTGTATGAAAACATCGTAAACCGTTTTCTATGAATGATTTTTTTAGAATGAGATATATTGTTCATGTACATAATTATTAATAGCGCTCATATATTGTACTAAATAAACATATACACAAATATACAGTTTACATATTTTTTTTTAATTTTAGCCTCTAAAAAAATGCATTGAATATTAATCTTCATCTTAAACGTTTAGTACGAAAATCGGAAAATTTATTAAAATCTTGGTGTACTTCATATATATATTGAGGAAAACATTCTGGTAATTTGTATGAAATATAGATTAAACTTCTTATAACTAAGTTATTAGGTTAATTAAGTACCAGATATTAAGAAGAGTCGTTCTTGACCTTATTTAGCACGGATCGAAAATCCTCTCGAAAATCTGCATGACGATCTTGGCCTTTAAAAAAAGTATGGTAATAACAAAAGGTAAATGGCAATATCTTATTAATGTAACTAATAAGCGTACATCATAATGAATATTCGTAAGAAATATAACACCAATTTAACACTGCTGGTGCACCATCACATCCGACATTAAACACTGATTTCCCCGAAGTCCTTCCTTTAAGAATGAGTCCACAGTCTTCAAAATATTTTTTTCACATGTGATCTGTAAAGGCCAGCAGAGCAGAAATTCCTTTTTAATATCTTTTGATTACAAACTCGTGAAGGGAGGCTTAAATTATCGCACCTTTTCATGGCCGCACTAACCTGGTGTATCATATAAATCGACACCTAAATTAACTGGATAATTTTGTTATATGTTAGAGAAATCTTCTAATTTTCTTGGCAGTTCCATTGACCACCTCAAAACAACGTCTTCGAGAGTGCTGGACTGATTAAATCGTCTTTATATCAGCACTGCTTCTGCTGTCTCCTTTGAATTCGGCTAAAGAAGCCTACGATGTGGGCGAAACGTTCCGGAATAAAGGTACCTAAATGGCGAGGCTTGACCAGTTGAGGATGTTCGTAACTCTCAGTGTTTATCCACAGAGACTTTAATCCATAGTTTTGTTTTGGTTACGTGCTGCATTAATGACCCTCCAGCAGTCGACAGGCTATAAACCCAATTAACTAGCCAACCGTAACAACAGCGTGTCATTCTCACAGTTACTGTGTGATGTTCACAGTTATTGTATGATGTTCACAGTCACTGTGTGATGTTTACAGTCACTGTGTGATGTTCACAGTCACTGTATGATGTTCACAGTCACTGTGTGGTGTTTACAGTCACTGTGTGATGTTCACAATCACTGTATGATGTTCACAGTCACTGTGTGATGTTCACAGTCACTGTGTGATGTTCACAGTCACTGTGTGATGTTCACAGTCACTGTGTGATGTTCACAGTCACTGTGGGATGTTCACAGCCACTGTGTAATGTTCACAGCCACTGTGGGATGTTTACATTCACTGTGTAATGCTCACAGTTGCTGTGTAGTGTTCACAGTCACTGTGTGATGTTCACAGTCACTGTGTGATGTTCACAGCCACAGTGTAATGTTCACAGTTACTGTGTAGTGTTCACAGTCACTGTGTAATGTTCAAAGTCACTCTGTAATGTTCACAGTCACTGTGTGATGTTCACAGTCACTGTGTGATATTCAGAGTCACTGTGTGATATTCAGAGTCACTGTGTGATGTCCATAGTCACTGTGTGATGTTCAGTCACTGTGTAATGTTCACAGTCACTGTGTGATGTTCAGTCACTGTGTAATGTTCACAGTCACAGTATTTTAAGAACAAATATGAATTCCGTGAATCACGACTGAATTAAAATATAGTTCACCTCCTTCGTTAGTGAGTAAAAAAAATTCCTTTGTGTTTCACAGTTGGGCTACACTCTAGTTCTACCTTCTGTCTGCAGCTGGGCTAGTATCTATCCCTCGTATAACAAAGCTTGGATAAAATTTAGGTCTGCATAATAGAGTGAAGTCTGTTATGTATGCTTAAAAAAAATACTTGGGAGGAAAGATGCCTCATAATGCGAACTTTTCATCTCTTGAGCGGAAATAATCTTGGTGGCATCCTGCATGACCCGCTGGACTCACATGCCGTTCACTTTGCTGAACGAATAAGCGGAAAGAAGAGAAAGGTTCGTGGCCACAGTCTATTCGGGTTTGAAAGTTCTTTCAAGGCTGAATGTAACCTTTTTAACCACCAGTCAAGAATACATTAATCTCTGGAATAGGGTTGAAGGTTAATTCTTAGTGAAAATAAACTGAAAGACTCAGACCTCTTAGTGTCTTGCCTTGTTC